CCTCCCAGGCCAGACGGCTCACCGGAAGTGCACGGACTGAGCCTCCCTGGCTCAGAACAGACTTCCAGAAGTAGCGTCCATGCACTTCCAATAGGTTGTTCTGGGCCTGGGAGGCCTCCCCAGCTCAGAACAGACTTCTGGAAGTGGCGTTCACACAGAGAACCAGTTGTTCACATATTTGAATCTCACCACTGATCTTAAAGATTATAATCCAAAGCCAGAAGATTTGCAAAAGAGGAGAAAAATGTTCCATCCAACAATTGTTTAGTGGATGAAAAAGCAGACAGGAAAAATAATCATAAGAAATTTGAGAAGTATTCTAGGATGCTTGTGCTCCCAATGAATGAATATGCTTTCATTGAGTGATTGAAATGAATAATTATTTATTTACAGTATGAATAGAGGACAAGGATACCAGAAATATCACAATCCCTAGTATGCAGAATACATAAATCATATGCATGTGAAAAATATGGCCAAATATTTTGTTAAATTTATTTATAAATGAAACAGCATGACTTTTGTGTATGTGAATATTCCTAGTGTCTACCATTTCTGTTAACTTACATCCAGTTCTTGACTTACAACCATTTGTTTAATAATTGTTCAAGGTTATAACGGAACTAAAAAAAATGACTTATGACCATTTTTCACACTTACGTTGCAGCATCCCCATGATCATGTGATCAAAATTTGGATGCTTGACAACTGGTTCAGATTTATGACAGTTGCAGTGTCCTGGAGTCATATGATCACCTTTTGTGACCTTCTGACAATCAAAGTCAAGGGGGAAGCCAGATTCAGTGAACAAACGTTACTAACTTAACAACTGTAGTGATTCTTTTAACAACTATGGCAAGAAAGGTCATCAAATGGGGCAAAACTCACTTAACAACTGTCTTGCTTAGCAACAGAAATTTTGGGATCAATTGTGATTATTAGTTGAGAACTATCTGTATATGAAGCTCTTCCAATCACTTTATAGACATTTTTTCTCTCTTTCCTCCTTGTCCTTCAGCTTTAACCTATTTGTATGTAGCAGTTTTTCTCTCTCTTTATTTCTCTTCCTTCAACGGACCAGTGTCATTTATTGGTTTTGAGCCTAATTTTCAATATCATATGGATATGAATAACTGTGTAAATATTTTATTTTAAATTTGTGCTATTTCACAGGTGAAAAGTTCACTATACAAAATGGTTCCCAGAATCTGAACAGGATGGTGACCTTTCCATGTCTTCCACAATCTCTATGCCCTCATAATATACAGCAAATACAGTCTTTCAAATTCTACCTCTGCAATTACGCACAAGGTAGTGATGCACCTGAGAGCATTATCACAGCGGATACTTTTGTTCTGCATCCACAATGCAAACAATGTGTAAAATGTGAACACACCAGTGGCTCAGAAACCAAAGAGACTTTACTTAATCTACCCTGACAATTAAAAACATAAATCTCTAATAGTAATTTAGTAGTAAGGGTTGTGTTAGTCAACTCCCAAGTGGATTTCTGCCAGGCTGTCTGCATGGGGCTGTTTTTGAAGACTATCTGGAAACTGTAGCTGGTGTAGAACAAGGCAGTGCAAGTAGTTACGGGTGCATCTTGGTACTCCCACGTTAACCTTACTCTGCGAGCTGTACAGGCTTCCATATGGAATTCAAGATGCTGATCATTACCGATATGGCACAGAGCTAAGTTACTTACAAACTGCCTCTCCTTAGTTGTTTCTGTATGTCTCACTAGGTCCCACAAAAGAGGCATGCTGTGGGTCCTTTCAATTAAAAATGTCAGCTTATGGGACTTCAGAAGTGTGCCGTTTTTCTGGCAGCACCTGCCCTCTGGCACTCTAGCTCTGATCCTGCTGGCCTTCTGTAAAGCATTAAATACCTGGATTGTTCCAGGGTTGGGGGTTTAGATGGCCCATTGATTGGTCTCTATTTATTGCTGTCAACTCTACAACAAACCTGGCTGCAGCCCTTTTTTTCGTTCTAAGTTATCACAAGAAGGTGAGGGGGAAAAGGTATTTCTGGTAGTCTAAACATGAGCAAATTTTGGGGAAACCAAGGTCATTCCCATGCCAGAGGGAAGGATTGTTCAGTCAGAAAGCCCATCAAGGTCTTCTATTGGGTAGCCGGAATAGAGAGGTGGGAATTGTTACATTTTACTATTTTGATTCTTGGAGGGAAAGTTTAGATTTGGTTTCACTTTTGACTGTGCCGATATTATGTATCCAATAAACATGTTCTTTGAGGAATTTTTCTCCCTCAGAGTTGATTTATTTAGTTTCATTGATTGGAACCATGACATTAAACCAGATCTCTTAAAACCTTTTTTCTACAGGGTCCTGAGCCCCGGTCGCCTACCCACTGTCTTTGGGAGGACAACAAAGATTCAGGAAAGAATCCAGAATGGAGAAGAAAGAGGAGGCAACCGCTAGTCTCAGTGCAACTTTGACTGCCAGGACACAGGCTACTACCCAGGTGAGGAATGGAGCACTAGTGGTGGGGGCTTGGCCAAAGACCCGGGTGACCCTGCTTGGGAAATTGGGGCAGCAAGAAGGGGCTCTAACCCTCAGAGACCTCAGTTGGGCTAAGCCCCCCAGTGCAGTACTCCCAAAGCTGCTGAAGTCGAATTCCTGATTTCCTCCCACAGTCTTCTGTCACCCATGCTGAGAAAGGTGAAGAGGCCAGCAAGTTGGTATGAATCTGGAGAATGGATGTACCTGACAGCAATCCATAGCCACTCGATTGAAAAATCAAAGACGTTTGACCGGCTTGAGGTAAAGGAGGTGGCCCTGGTCACCCGATATGTGGTTTTGGTTGGGCAGGAAGCAAGGAGGTTGCCAATGCTCCCTCTGCCTCGTCCAAGCCCGATTGCAATGGTGCCGCTTCACTGTGACCTAGACCAGCCTCAACATCAAGTCTGGTGCCCAGGCGAAATCTCCCAGCCAAGGAGATTCCAGAGTGTGGCACACAACCACAGCCTCAGTATCAGTGACCTGCTTTGTGCCCCGCTTACTGGGGACAGCAGCCAGTGGATCTGCCTCCTATAAAGCCCATGTTTGATGGAGATCCAAAGTTGCCTTCTTGAACCAGGTGTGGGCTCACCTGAATCGCTATGCTCAATTCTGTGATGGTGAATGCAATAGCAGCCAACCTAGAGGGGGAAGCGGCAGAATGTGTGAACAGCCTGCATGATGAGCAAGCACCAGAACTGTGGGACATAAATCTATTAATGGGCCAGTTGAGAGGCCGGTTCAAAGATGAGTCCAAAGCCCTGTGAGCTGAGATAGACCTCTATAGCCTGAAACAAAGGGGATATCCAGCTAAACTGTATGTCCTGAAATTCCGGAAAATTGCAGGCAGGATCATACAGTGGTCAGAATGATCACTGATTCATTATTCCAAGGAGGAGCTAGATCATGATTTGTTCTAGGCCTTCATTTTTTTCATTCTAGATTGCCCTCTAGGGGAGGGAGGAAAGGTATTTCTGGTAGTCTAAACATGAGCAAATCTTGTGGGAACCGAGGTCATTCCCATGCCGCAGGGAAGGAGGATCATTGAGTCAGAAAGCCTACATGAATAGAGGGGTGGGCATTGTTACATTGTATTACTTTGATTCTTGGAGGGAAACTTTAGATCTGGTTTCGCTTTTGACCGTGCCAATATTATGAATCCAATAAACATATTCTTTGAGGAATTTTCTTCCCTCGGAGTTGATTTATTTGGTCTCATTGATCAGAACCATGACAATTGTCTTGTTGACTTCATCCTTGGGACCACTGTTATTTTTTAATTTTTGTTAATGTTTTTATTGTTTTAGTGTGGTATTATCTGCCTAAACTCACATTTCTGAGATTCACCATCACATAAATTGATTAAATATATTATTAAATAGCTAGTAGTTGAGGGGTCCTTGGTGCTTTCTGAATTTGGTTGATTTTTTGTAAATGTTTCATTACCCCAACTAAGTAATATCATTATTGATATCACCTAGTTTGGGTAATGAAAATAACCAAACTCAAGAGAGCATCAAGGATTCCTCATTTCAACCCTGAGCTACAAATATTCTCCTTTATCAGTAGCTAGTAGATCTTCAATAACCTGTTTCACAAGTTCCACCAAATGTGTCACTAACAAGCTCTTCGAAACACTATTGAAACCTGGACAGTTGTTACTCTGTTATAACTCATAGAAACACACATATTTTGTCAAGATTTTAGTGAAACCTCCAATGCGGTATATATGAAAGAAAATTAACGTTACTTGGCAATGGTATAAACCACCTATTTAGAATAGTATAATGGTAATTTCTTGGGACTGTTCTTGATAACTATTTGGAACTAAAAGAATGTGTCTTTTATTCTTAACTAGAGTTCTTCAGGAATAACCGTGTTATATTAAAATTCTATTTGGAGTAGGTTTTAAATACAATCACTGTTTTATTTTTTTAAAAAACTCCTTTTGTTGGTGTATTCCTTTTTGTTGCAGAGTCCTTTCAAACTGGTGCAGATTATAAACATTCTGAATAAATGCAGTCTGGGATTAATATGGTGGGTTGCTATGATCACTGAAATCCCTTCTTGGAAAAATGCTTTGTTAAAAGATTCTTGTAGCTTCTCTGAACTCTATCCTTTTGGAAACACAACTCTGCCATGGTCTAACTATTCCAAAACCAAACTCTTAAAATCTTGTTTTCAGAGTTTTCAGATGTCATGTTTGCAATACTTTAGTAAAAACAGTAGGATTTTATACACTTTTTCAACCACACTACTATACATGCCAAGTTTTAAAGTGCATTAAGTTATAAATAAGAATGCTTTTTTTCCTCCAACAATTGGCAATACTATGCTTCCATATTACTTTCCACTCTGCTGAAAATTACCACATGACAGCCAAATTCCAATTTCTCTGAGATGTCATGCCATTTGAGGAAAAATGGCTCCATCCCTAAGATCTGCTGCAACACAGCATGATTATGCAAAAGACAATGCACAGAATCCAAATTTTAAGTAATTTATTTCAGTAGGAAAAATCTGTTTTAAGTTCATACATTAAGCTATCTTGAAACAGCTTATGCAAACAAACAGTTCAAACATACACACGTAAAATATTTTAAAAAACTAAAAAAAAAGGACAAGGAACAGCTAAACTGCACATCACTCATAGAGGTCATAGTGCATTTACACCCCCCCCCCCATCAAAATAGTGCTTGAGGTCAAATGGAGGAAAATATACTAAAATGGCTTGTGTGTAGTATAATGTAGACTTTGCATGTTTTTACATATGTGAAGTTCATAATGATGTGAATGACTATAAATTATGTTATTATTAAAGGATACAAAAAGACAAGATTTCACTAAACTCCCCCTTTTCCACTTATCTTCTAATAAGTTTACAGTAAAGTAAGCACATTAATTAGTAAGAAAAATAAATATTTTTTTTCAGGGAAAGAAGGTGCCAATTTGTCCACTGCAAAGAAGAGGCTCTGAACACATTCCATCTTAGATCTTCAATAACACCCAAACTCAAGAAACAGGTTGATACGTCTGCAACTTTGTTTCAGAAAGTTGTGAAAAATCTTAAAACTATAATATACTTTCACAATCTTTACTATGAACAGTCTGTATATGGTCCAGTATCTTTGTAAAAGACATAACTCTTGCTATTTAAGTTGCATTCAGTTATAAATCTGGTTGTTCAGTTCTCCTCTATCATATATGTGGAAAATTTAACCTAGAGAGAGAGCTAATACTCATGGCCTTCAGAATTTAAGTTTTCTTCTTCTAGCTGAAAATTTATTTCTCAAAATTCAGATATTATAAAGTTTAGAAAGATATTAACTCCTCAGGTATAACTGATTTTTTTAAAAAACTGGCTTCTATCTTGAAGTTTCAAAATGGGATTGTTTAAAAAATAATTAAATGATTCAGTGAAACTTGCACTTCTAGGGCAAGATCATACATTGGTGATGAGGGTGAGAGAAGAGGGTCTGAAGGAATACTTGAAAGATCCATTGCCTAGGACATACATATATAGAGGAGTTTATGCAAAAAATGTGAACCGGTTTACAAATGCACAAACATTCCTTGTATAAGATCAATGAACTGAAACTTATTCAAATTAAAAGATTTTTTACTGGGTCTACTAAAGAGAAAGCTTGACTTTCGAAGCAGAAATGAGCTAAGAAAAATTGAGTTTTTCTACTGGCTGTTATTTAATTGGAGTTTCTGCAAAGCCCAACTTACATAAGTAGTGGAATGCATAGAAATAATACTTGGTGGGTTGCCACCTTGGTCTTTCAAACTGGTAATTAAGGCACTAGCAAAAATCTTATACAGATATAAAATGCTCATCTCATAATGAGCAGGAAATGTTATACTTCTCTGAATGAATATTCTGTTTCTGTTTTATTTTTAAATGTAAATTTTAAGGTGGAATACAGGCCATTTTTAAACGGGAAAAGAGAGTGACTTGAAATTCCCCAAATCTAGGCAGATAGACTTTTCAGAGAAAGTAAAAATAATTCTTCAAATTTTAGTGTCTTCAAGTTTGCATAGTATATAATATTACAAATTGGAACACTAAATCAGATTTAAGAATGCTTACAATTGAAAAAGCAATATGCACAAAAACATGAGGAAGAAAGATGCAACTTGAGCCACTGGAAGTTTGCATTACAAGGAAACCTAATTTGTAACAGATTTGTTTGATCTGATATAAAGGTACAGGAATATGCTACAACATTAGGAAGAAATTCAAAAAGCTCACTTAACCCTATTTGAAAATAGTATGTCTATAACAATATCTACAGTAATGTTCTATGATTCAAATACAATTTAGATATACGGTAGCTGGAACAGAGTCTTTCATTTCACCTAATGTGTTCTGAAAAGCAGCTTCATCCATGTCTTTAGTGTACATAGACAAGTGTGTGTGCATCATTTGTGCATGAAGCAGTGCAAGTTGCAATTTCATTACAAGGAAAATCTTCTTGGCTGAGATTTGACAAAGTAGTCTGACAATATTATTCAATCAGCGTCATGTGGGCTAACTGAAATCTGGCAAATTGCAATCAACTTTTCAGAATAATGAGTACTGAGATACTCAGAATACATGACCCCTGCATTTTATAACAATTAGAGGAAATTAGAAAGATGATTAATTGAGGCTATTGGGCATATGCAGTAGAGGATGTTCATTTACAGTATACAAGATGAAGCTTTCTCTCTCTCTCTCTCCACCCCCCCCTCTTTCGTGTGTATGTGTGTGTGTGTGTGTGTGTGTGTGAGAGAGAGAGAGAGAGAGAGAGAGAGAGAGAGAGAGAGAGAGAGAGAGAGAGAGAGAGAAAGGAAGACATATAAGGCATTCTACAGTTGTACTGACCAGATGCATGTGTCTTGTAATACATCTTGCAACTTGAATTTGTAATACATCTTGAAACATTTCTTGCAACTTGATTTGTTTTTAGATAAAATAGTAAAAATCTATTTTAGTGAAATATGTATTTATATACCAAAAATCCAGTGTTTTTGTTATAGTAAAAATGGAACTCATTCTATTTTCTATTAATTATTATAAAAACAATCCCTGATAGTATTAGCATCTATATATTTAGCTCATTTAGAAGAAACTTGTACTACCAAGCAAAATGCTTCATTGACACTCAAACAGCATTTAGATTTTCTGATACATATTTTTGAAAGCTACCTTTAAAAAATATGTTATTAATAATATGAACTGTAAAATTTTACGTTACTGAAATTTAACTGATGAATGAAGCAAATTGTTAGAAATTAAATAGATCTTTTTACAAGCGCAATCTTTAAAACTACCATAAAATCTGGAATGGTTCAAGGCTTGAAAGATTTTTTCAAATAAATTAAATCAAAACAAATAAATACAAAAACTACAAAATGTGTATGAGAAAGCTGAAAGCTGTAAAAGTATAATACCCCTATCTGCTATTTAAAGGAAATAGGCTAAGTAAAGCTTTTAAACAGATGTATTTATATTTAAGTTGAACGTTTTACTACTTTTTGCTGCTTTTGGTATTTAGTCTACTGGGCAAAAACAAGTTTCCAACCTGGTTTTGAGCTGATACATGTGCCTGTTTTTGTATGTGCTCCCTTTCCAAACCATCCATTTCCTTTTGAGAAACATTTTGACGTAATGAATTAGCTCTGAAAATGTTACATAAGCTTCAAAACCAATGTATCTCAGAAAATATGTGTCATGTTCTATGATCTGAATCAAATATTGTAAATGTTCAAACGTGCTCATTCAATGTGCCAAAACTAACTATAGACACCATGTGAAAAACTGGCATGAGCTGACTTTTTATCTTCCAAAACTCTTTATCTAATTAAGCTGTGGTTTGCAGTTGCATCTTTCTGCTCATAAGAATGGTGATCAATGGGATAAATCTATCTACACAATTCTTTTTCTTCCATGCTTTTTTTTTAGAACAAATTCCACAGGATTCCATTCCATAAAATTAAAAAATGGGATGGAAATTAAGTGGAAATTAAATTGTGCAAACTCTATATAGTAATACTGCTGGTTATAAAGATGTTCCCATGAAACTTTCTGTGTCATTTATTGACAGATGTGTAAACTAAGCAAGTCAAGAACATGCAAGTCTCCTTTTATAACAAATGCCACTATAAGGTCAGAACTGAGTATTAATTCCCCAAGAATCCAGAATTTAACTTCTTGGCAGGAAGAAAAGAAATAGATATTAAAAGTGGATAATTTTAAAATATGTTCCTATTTATTTCATTGTACTTTGAACAAAACTTTTATGTGAACCTTATTATTTCCTTCTGTGGATAGCTGCCATTCCTGCCTATCCTATTAGCAGGAAAAAGCCATTCAGAAAACATATCCTTTAGCTACATGAACCCATGATATTCTACTCACACGTGAATTTGAGGAGTTACTTTTTATAATTTCAGTCTATATTTTCTCATAAGCTGTACTATAGCACTGATGGAGTTGATTTCAACTGACCTTGTTTTCTTTTGATCAAAATATGTGAAGACTCTGAAACTGTCTAGTTCAAAGTATCATGCTATCATACCAACATAGACAAATTTTCAGAGCATGAGTTTCTTTACAAATTAGCTCACGTGGTGGTAAGTTGTTTTTTTAAAGAAATATGTGAAATGGTAACCTATATTTTCTTACAGTAATCTAAACCTACTTGTAATTAATCCATCAGTGATTTATCTTTATACTGGCAGATTTTTCAGATTATGTAGGAGGTGACTTTTGCAAACTATACACAAATAAGATTCGAGTTCTGACATAAAAGAAATGAAAAACTTCTAATCCTAATATTGTGCTTCTTTTACAAGAAGGAAAATATAAGGTTTTCATCTGTAAAACAATAGTTAATGAAGATTTTCAGGGGTAAATGTGCTTGTGGAAAGTGTATTACGTGTATCAAAACTTGTTTCTTGGAGAAATGAGGGTGTCTTGTCTGAAAATATGTTGAAATTAAATTCTCAGTTCTGACCTTCTGATGTTTCCCAGAATCTCCTTGAAACTGACAACCAAGATCTCTCTCTTTCTCAAAAAAAGAATGAATATGATATTGGCCGTTGTGTCACTTGCAGAAAAGAAAAACCTCACGTAGTATCAAATTCTGCAAAGTCAGTGCTTTGTAAAAACAAGATAAATTTGCATATATTACAGTTGTTACATTCTAAGCTAAATTAATTATATTGTGCCCCCAATTAGCTAAGCACAAGAGCTAATACAGAGGGACACAGATATAAGCTGCATATTTTTCAAGAACACACAGGCTATCCCCTTACTCAAACACCCCTTGAAACACCCTTAAGTTTCAGATTTACAGATTTTACAAGAAAAACTGCAAAAAGCAGGGCTTTAAAATTAAAATGTAACAAAGTAAACACAAATACAAACTAGCTACAACCTACTTAACATAAGCACAGCACTGTCAGAGGTTTCACACACATACATACACACACACACACACAAATTTGGTGTTTCATGTTGGATAACCTTTCATTCTTTAAGGCAGTGGTTTCCACAAGTCAGTTCAGAGAATATTGAGTAGCAGCAAGCCTCACGGTAGTTCATGTCACATTCAATTCCCTGAAATCTTAGTGCTTTTATTCAGAACTTCCATTTTCTTCCTAGTCGGAAGTACAGCTGGCATGCCTTCAACAGGACTTCTCAAACCATGAAATAGCATTCAAAAGTGGATGGATCAAATTCATGGATCAAATTCTGCAGTAGCTGGTCACTCAAAAGTCATCAAATTGGCAGGAACCTATCAAAAGAAGAAATAATTTTGTAAAGCAAATTAGAGGTATAACTTTAAGTTCAAGTTTAGAAATTAAGCCCTAGTTTCCTGTTATGTAATCAAATAGAGACAAGATTGAGATTTATATGCTGCTTCCAACTGTGCTAAATTTGTAGATATACCACTTTTTTCAAGAATGGTTTGAGAATTAGGCAGGATAAGTAACTAACTTTTGGTTCTTGCTTATTCTCAAACTACTCTTTTAAAAACAAATTATAGTTCTCATAGTTAAAACCAAGTTGAATGCTAGAAGATGATGTGGCTGTAGAAAAGGAAATATAATCTTAGGTTGCATGAATACAGTAAGGTAATTTCCGAATAGTAGGATATTATAGTTCTACTCTAGTCCTTTCTAATCAGACCATTATACCCAATGTTTAGTTATGGACTCTCTATTTAAATAAGGAAAGCTTTCAGAGAAGGGCAGCAAAGATCAGTAGACTGGAAACTATGTTGAGGAGAGACTGAGATAACTTTGTAGTTTTATTGTTAAGAGAACATTAAGGGGATATGATAAATTGACTCAGGTATATTAGGATCCCCTTTATGGATTACTGCCTTGTCGTGGCGAAGGGGCTTGCGTAACTCAATGAAGCTATAAGCTATGCCGTGCAGGGCCACCCAAGATGGACAGGTTATAGCAGAGAGTTCTGACAAAATGTGATCCACTGGAGAAGGAAATGGCAAACCACTCCAGTATCTTTGCCATGAAAACCCCATGGACAGTACTAAAAGGAAAAAAGATATGACGCTGGAAGATGAGCCCCTCAGGTCGGAAGGTGTCCAATATGCTACTGGGGAAGAGCAGAGGGCTAGTACTAGTAGCGCCAGAAAGAATGAAGCGACTGGGCCAAAGCCGAAAGGACGCTCAGCTGTGGATATATCTGGTGGTGAAAGGAAAGTCCGATGCTGTAAAGATTTTTTCTCCATAGGAACCTGGAATGTAAGATCCATGAATCAAGGCAAGCTAGACGTAGTCAAAAAAGAGATGACAAGACTGAACATCGACATCTTAGGAATCAGCGAACTAAAATGGACAGGAATGGGTGAATTTAACTCAGATGACCATCAGGTATACTACTGTGGGCAAGAATCCCTCAGAAGAAATGGAGTAGCCTTCATAGTCAATAAAAGAATAGGAAAAGCAATACTGGGATACAATCCCCAAAATGACAGAATGATCTCAATTCGAATCCAAGGCAAACAATTCAATATCACAATAGTCCAAATCTATGCCCCAACCACTGGTGCTGAAGAGGATGAAATTGACCAGTTTTATGAAGCCCTACAGCACCTTATAGAATTAACACCAAAAAATGATGTCCTTATCATCATGGGGGATTGGAATGCTAAGGTAGGAAGCCAAAAGATAACCGGAATAACAGGCAAGTTTGGCCTTGGAGTACAAAATGAAGCAGGGCACAGGCTAATAGAATTTTGTCAAGAGAATGATGGTCATAACAAACACTCTTTTCCAACAACCCAAGAGACGGCTCTACACATGGACATCACCAGACGGTCAACATAGAAATCAGATTGACTATGTGCTCGGCAGCCAAAGATGGAGAAGCTGTATACAGTCAGTAAAAACAAGACCAGGAGCTGACTGTGGCTCAGATCATGAGCTTCTCGTTGCAAAATTTAGGCTTAAATTGAAAAAAGTAGGGAAAAGCACTAGGCCACTCAGGTATGAACTAAATCATATTCCTGATGAATATACAGTAGAGGTGACAAATAGATTTAAGGAATTAGATCTGATAGACAGAGTGCCCGAAGAACTATGGATGGAAGTTCACAACATTGTACAAGAGGTAGCAACTAAAACCATCCCAAAGAAAAAGAAATGCAAGAAAGCAAAATGGCTGTCTGAGGAATCTTTGCAAATAGCTGAGGAAAGAAGGGAAGCGAAAGGCAAGGGAGAAAGAGAAAGATACACCCAATTGAATGCAGAATTCCAGAGAGTAGCTAGAAGAGATAAGAATGCCTTCTTAAATGAACAGTGCAAAGAAATAGAAGAAAACAACAGAATAGGGAGGACCAGAGATCTCTTCAAGAAAATTGGAGATATGAAGGGAACGTTTCATGCAAAGATGGGCATGATAAAGGACCAAAATGGCAGAGACCTAACAGAGGCAGAAGAGATTAAGAAGAGATGGCAAAACTACACAGAAGAACTATACAAGAATGAGCTTAACATCCCAGATAACCACAATGAGATGGTCATTGACCTCGAACCAGACATCCTAGAATGTGAAGTGAAATGGGCCTTAGAAAATCTGAGCAACAACAAAGCTAGTGGAGGTGACAGTATTCCAGCTGAGCTATTCAAAATCTTAAAAGACGATGCAGTAAAAGTGCTACACTCAATTTGCCAGCATATTTGGAAAACTCAACAGTGGCCACAGGATTGGAAAAGGTCAGTTTACATTCCAATTCCAAAGAAAGGCAATGCCAAAGAATGTTCTAACTATCGCACCATTGCACTCATTTCACATGCTAGTAAAGTTATGCTTAAAATCCTACAAGCTAGACTCCAGCAGTATGTAGATTGAGAACTACCAGAAGTACAGGCAGGATTTCGAAGAGGCAGAGGAACTAGAGATCAAATTGCCAACATACGCTGGATCATGGAGAAAGCTAGGGAGTTCCAGAAAAACATCTACTTCTGCTTCATTGACTATGCAAAAGCCTTTGATTGTGTGGATCACAACAAATTGTGGCAAGTTCTTAAAGAGATGGGAGTACCAGACCATCTCATTTGTCTCTTGAGAAACCTATATGCGGGTCAAGAAGCAACAGTGAGAACCGGACACGGAACCACTGATTGGTTCAAAATTGGAAAAGGAGTCCGGCAAGGCTGTATACTGTCACCCTGCCTATTTAACTTATATGCAGAGCACATCATGAGAAAGGCAGGGCTAGATGAATCAAAAGTTGGAATTAAGATTGCCGGGAGAAATATCAACAACCTAAGATATGCAGATGATACCACTCTAATGGCAGAAAGTGAAGAGGAACTAAAGAGCCTCTTGATGCGGGTGAAGAAGGAGAGTGCAAAAGTTGGCTTGAAACTCAACATTAAGAAAACCAAAATCATGGCATCCGGCCCTCTCAATTCCTGGCAAATAGATGGGGAAGAAATGGAGGTAGTGACAGATTTTATTTTTCTGGGCTCCAAGATCACCTCAGATGGGGACTGCAGCCAAGAAATTAAAAGACGCTTGCTCCTGGGGAGGAAAGCTATGGCAAATCTAGACAGCATACTAAAAAGCAGAGACATCACCCTGCCAACAAAAGTGCGTATAGTCCAGGCCATGGTTTTCCCAGTTGCAATGTATGGCTGTGAAAGTTGGACCATAAGAAAGGCTGAGCGCCAAAGAATTGAGGCCTTTGAACTATGGTGCTGGAGAAGACTCCTGCGAGTCCCTTGGACTGCAAGGCGTTCAAACCGGTCAGTCCTAGAAGAGATCAACCCCGACTGCTCTTTAGAAGGCCAGATCCTGAAGTTGAAACTCAAATACTTTGGCCACCTAATGAGAAGGAAGGACTCACTGGAGAAGGGCCTAATGCTGGGAAAGATTGAGGGCAATAGAAGAAGGGGACGACAGAGAATGAGATGGCTGGATGGAGTCACTGAAGCAGTAGGTGTGAACTTAAATGGACTCCAGAAGATGGTAGAGGACAGGAAGACCTGGAGGAACGTTGTCCATGGGGTCGCGATGGGTCGGACACGACTTCGCAATTAACAACAACAACAACATATTAGGATATTTCACACAGAATGAAGCCATAGCCTGTTATCCATCATCCTATTATTCAGGTCATAAGACAGCTCTTTTAAATTATAGGAAGGCAAACTCTAGTTGAATATTAGGAAAATATTCCTGATAATAAGAGCAATTCAAAAGTGGAAACAGTTATCCATGGAGGTAATGAATTTCTCTTTACTGGATGTGTTTAGGCGGAAGCTGTATATCTCTGTTGGGAAAGATTTTAGTCTGGATTCCTACAATTATGCTTCTTTTAATTGAAAGAGGCAACCAGGTCAATATGGTTTCAGAAACTGCTCCAGCTGTATCATCCTATCCATCCTGCACAGAACCATTATTACCAAATACTCTGTGCAAGAGATTTCCAAAAATGGAGTCCAAAGCTTGCTCCATTTGGATTATTCTATTTCCCACAGAGCCATGATTCTTATTTATTTATTAGGTATTCGAATCTTCCCAGATTTTAGGTGGCTTACAACAATTAAAAATTAAAACACTGATAAATGGAATATAAATTATATGAAACATTAACCTCACTAGAAACAATGAATATACAAAATAAATGTAAAAAGAGAAAATCTATGAAATGTCAAATAGCCTCTATAAAGGCTGATTTTAATCAACTTTTGGAAGCCATCACCAAAATAATTGTTTCCAGGGGAAGGTTCTCATGACTAAAAAAAATATGAATTCATTTTTTTTGGGGGGGGGGAGGAAGAGGAAGGATTTATCTACCCTCACTTCACTTCACAGAGGTCCAATTCAGGTTGAAGAAGTATTTACATGCAAGTTTGTAAGTTAAAGCACACAATTTGAATTGCACTTGGAAGCCTATTGTAGCTAATCTAAGGCTTGCAATGCAGATGTAATATCCCTGTAGCATTGAGTGCCAACCAACTTCAGTTTCTGGGTCATTTTAAAGACAGCCACATAGAACAGACTGTAAAACTCCAAATGAGTGTTTATAAGAGCATATTATTTCAGCTAGATTCTACTGCTCCAGGTGCAACCAGCACATAACCAAAAATGGGCAAAGGCCCTTCTGGCCAGTGTCTCCATCTACATATCCAGCAGTAGTCAAAAGGAACTCCAAGTTGTGTGCTTCTCCCTCTAGAGCAGGGGTATCAAACTGCCGGCCCACAGGCCGGATACATCATAGCAAAACTGCACCCACCCCATTGCCGACAATGGCAAAAAAGTCACGCTATGTTGCAACACGTCACATGATGTTGCAAGTTTGACACCCCTGCTCTAGAGGCAACTCTAGAACAAAAAGAGAAATGCAATGAACAAATAGCAACTATGTCTTGCATGGATTCGACTGTAATCTATTTGTTTCCATCCAATTCTCAACATGTTCCAGGAGTTAGATGAAAACATCAGTGGGATCCCTTGATGAGCCCAGGGTAGCAATATAAATCTCAGTATAATCAGCATTTAGATATTACTGTATCATAAAATAATGAATGACCTCTTCCGGGAGCTTTATATAGATGTTGAAGGGGACAGCCCAATGAACTTTGCTGAATCCCATGTGAGCAGTCACTGGATTGACCTTTCTTCCTTGTCAATCATTGATTAGAATTATCAATGGAGGAAAGTTAAGAACCTGAAACAATGCCTCCAACTCTCCCCCCCTCCCCCGTTTAGAATACCATAGGTTGATGGGTATCAACTAAGAGGCTAAATGACAAGAGGTGTGTGGTCACTTATCTAGTTCCCAATAAAGGTAATAAATTAGAATAACTAATGTTATCTTTAAACTGAAACTTAAAGAGTACCTAGAAGCCACTTCTAAGACATTGGGCATCTGGATCTAAACAAGGATTCTTAAGGAAGGGGTGTGCACCTGCTTCCTGATCCAAAAGAACCCTCAACCCACCTGTCAACTCTGCAGCAATCTTGGCTGAAACCATTTTTACTTTGTTTTCGGTTGCCACAGTACTGGTAGGGGGGAATGGGTGGTTTTAATGTTAGACTAAACAATATTTTGTCCTGTGGGAACTAAGGTAATTGCTGCCTGACTTTTGGCAGACTGAGCCTTCCGTTAGAAAGTCCGCCAAAGTATTCTATTGGGGAATGTAGTAGATTACATCGTGCTGGGGTGGGAAGTTCAACTATGTAACATTGTAATGCTTTGGACGGAACTTGGTTTCACTTTTGACTGTGCCGATACTTTGTAGCCAATAAACATATTCTTTAAAGAAAACTCTTGCCTTGGAGTTCTATCGGAACCATGACACCACCCCCACCCCCACTGAGTTGGAATAGAGAAATTCAGCAATACACAAGTTTTTTGTATCTTGTGAGAAACCACTTTATATTCAGGTCTTACTAACAATTAAAGCATGATTTCATAATTCTTGCTTTCTCACCTGTTGTCTGTTGCTTTGGCAGGCAGCACTTAGATGCTTGAACCACAGCATTGCATTCATTCTGTTACCAGCTTGAAACTTGTACGAATTCCCTGAATGACAATGAGTTTTCCATTAAAAATTAAAACCATCTCATATTTTCAATTAAACATTTTTTTTAAAAAAAACTAGTGGGCGGAATGCAATCATATGCTTCCACTGACTGAATTTATTATTTTCACTTGAACACTCTCAAAATCCACTTGGCAGAGTCCCCTAACTCTCTGGAGCAAATCTTGTAGCCATTTCTTTGACCTATCATACAAAATATATATATATATCTAGCAATGGACACTACCAGTATTTTTTAATATATGATAAAACATATACTGATATAGCCAATCAAGAATGTCTTCTGAGAAAAAAGTATAGAATTGTAAACATATGTCCAATATTTCTTTAATGGAAGAAGTTTTATTTGTAATATAAAGTCATCTCCATCACAAATTATTCACTCATTAGGTAACTTCTCACTTATTTGGTAAGAAGGCAAAATCTACCTGAGATTCATCTTCCTGGCATATAAAGTTTCTGAGCTGCTATAATAACATTCAAGGCCAGATGCTCTATCACAGACATGTCAAACTCACGATGTCACATGACATCGCGCAACGTATCGGAGCTTTTTCACCATTGCCGGCAATGGGTAGGCATGGTTTCTTAATGACGCATCCGGCTCGTGGGCCGGCAGTTTGACACCCCTGCTCTATCATTTCCCCATTTTGACTGTTTAGGCCAGATGACTTATTAAACTAAAAACTAACCTCACACTGCTTGCATTCTGAATCCCCCTCATCAGTCTTTAGTTCTTGGGGGACTTGAGATAGATTTTTTTTTCAAAGAAGTTAATTTGATTAAAACATTCAAAATGACTTTCCAACAACAGATAAATAAACATCTATTAATGGTTTACGTAATTCTTTTTAGCCCTGTCTTCAAGAATTAAGACCCCGTTCACTTTGTTACATCACACTACTATAATTAAAGTCCGAAGTAAGTTTTGTACAGGAATCCTTGATTTACAGCCAAAAATGGACCAGAATTTCCATTGTAAGTCATTGTGGTTGTAAGTCGAGCCAGAATGATTTTATGACAATTTTTATGGTAGATATTAAGCTAATCACCATGATTAAATGAATCACATGGGCATTTTTTGCTGGAAATCAGCAACAAAGGACACAAATAACGACCACGTGTTTGCAAGATGCTGCAACTGGTCGTAAATGTGAGCCAGATGCCAAGTGTCCAAACTACAATCACGTGACAGTGGAGGTGCTGTGACAGTTATAAATGCAAATACATGTTATAAGTCATTTTTTCATAAGATGTGGTAACTTTGAACTATCCTTAAATGCAAATTGAAGACTTGCTATAATTGATTTAACAACTAATCACAAGGAAAAGGTATCTGTTGAATGTAACAATATGATTGTTAAATTTAATTTTCTTTTAATAACAACCACTGATGTCCAATAACAGGGAAGAGGTATCCATTAAATGCCAAATGATTGTTCAAGTCACAAATGAAAAGTCCAGACAATATTCACTGTTCCCTTCAAAATGGGATTTAGCATTATCAGTAAAATGGGTTAATAATGAATCTCAATTTGAAGGAGAGCACTGAATACTTTCTGGACTGATTGGAACAGACTTTGACTATTTGGGGAGCAAAATCTGCTAATGTCTAATTTGGACAAAGGTGAATACTATAGTGTTAAGTTATTTCTAAAGACGATTAAATCAAGAATTTACTACTAGTAACTAATGTTACTGACCTTTTTCGGAATCTGTGAGTAGGAAAAGATCCGGATGATCTGGATCATCAGCCATCATAACCATCCAACCCACTACTGACACATTCTTACTTGGTGTAGATTTGAACTAAGAGTAGGAGTGGGGGGGGGACATTAATGAAAAGAAAATAAAAACAAAAAGAGTACTGCAATATTTGCATTAAAAGTAATGGCTGCAACAAGAAGAGCAAAGTTGACCTGCTGGCTTTTGTAATGCAACACAGCTTAAGTAAACTCAAAAGGGATACAGTATTTTATATATTCCAGAGTTAATGTGGGACTGGACCTTGATCCACAAACAGCGGTGTCACATAAGCAAGTTTTATGTCAATTATGGAAACACCCCTTTCTCTTTGAATCTCCCTGTGTGGGCTGAAAGTTGCTATTTTTCCATGCACAGAAAAACTGAACTGAATTATAAGGCTGCTTGTACAGATTCTAGATTTGGACCTTTCTGCAACAATTACAGCAGGAATTTTGGAATTAGTTTTAAAAATTACTACAACTTGCTTGCAGCAAAGCTCAAGATTAACACAGAGGAAGCAAATGAATAACATATATTGACAATATGAAGTTTATAGAATGATGGCAATTCAGTGTTGTACAATATGCAGCATTCACACTGAAAGGCTGAAAAAACCCTTCTGCCAAAAGCTAAAAGCAAGAATACAATACATACATGTTTTCTCTCTGTAGCCTTTAAAGACTTTGCAGCATAGTAGAAAAGCTGTGCTCCACAAAGAGCTACCCAGTATTTGGTCCAAGAAGCAACCTAGATGATTAGAAAATCACAAGGTTAATAAATTCAAAAGGCATCTGCCATTGCATCTTAATTTTGTATATATTTTACTCCTATTCATTTTACACATTAACTAAGCAGAATGAGACTTTTAGGATATTGTTAGCTGTAATCCACATTATATGCTGTAATATAATAACATTTTGTATATTAATCTAGTTTAGTAAACATGGAAATTTAAAAACATATATTTGGCATTGATTCAGGATTCTCAAACTGCAATGTGTCTTAAATCACCCCAAGAGCAAACAAGTAACATCTCTTTCCAATCTAGGGCTTGAGGATCACCAAGAAAACCAAAAGTATGTTGTGAGCCACCAAACCAATGTAGGATTGAAAAATCCTTTCCAAACTGGGCAGTTTTACATGCTAGCCACAGCAGCACTGGTATAACTATTTATTGAGATACATACTTACAAGCCATTATATCCTTTATTGCTAAAGAATTTTCATTATAGTCTATATCAGGGGTGTCAAACTGCTGGCCCGCGGGCCAATTTCATGATACCGGAGCCGCGCCCACCCCATTGCCGGCAATGGCGAAAAAGCTCCAATACGTCGCGCGACATCATGTGACATCAAGAGTTTGACATGCCTGGTCTATATCGTTGGGCTTATATGTTAAGACTGGCCTACAGGGTAAAAAACCTTAATGCATATTTTTGGAACTCCTTATATCTCATAGGGAGTCCAGGGACAACCAGTTATTTTTGGCTGTCATGGCAGGAGATCAATATCTACTTATTCATAGCTTATCAAACAAAAAGGGGGATTAGCAAGATAATCTTGACTTAAATTTAGATTAAATTTAAAAATAAATCTCTTCATTTCTAAGATCATCATAAGTGTCTGTATGCAAATAGGCAGTGGTGTTCATCTTGGGCGATTTTACACCTGTCTGGATCATCTTCAAATGTCTAATCTGGCCTTTCTAAGGAAATAGTGGTGCAGTAGAGAAAATAGGGTTACTTGCAATGTTTTCAGATAAGGTTCAAGTCTGGGCATAGGGCAGAAAATATTTTAGTTATACTTTGCTGGTCTATGACTGTAACAAAGATCTGGCATAATTTAGTTGCACCGATGGATCATTTAATTTGGGACATGGATGAGTGTACCACATCCTTCCTGGTCTGTTTATCTCTTTTAGCAGAATCTAATAGAATATGAACCACAATTTTTTTAACCTGCCTGCAAGGGGTGGGGGGTTCTATTTTACAGTGGTTTTACACTTTCCTGATGGGTGGTACCAGACAGTATGGTGGGTTAGAGAAGATCTGCTTTGCATTCAAATTTGAACTCATTAAATTTGCAGATGACACCAAGCTGGCAGGAATAGCCAACACTCCAGAAGATAGGCTTAAGATACAGTAGGATCTTGACAGACTTGAACATTGGGCGCTATCTACCAAAATTAAATTCAATGGTGAAAAAAGTAATGTTCCACATTTCGGCAAGAAAAACCAAATGCAGGGGTACAGTATAGGTGGTACCTTGCTCAACAGTAGTAACTGTGAGAGGGATCTCGGAGTCCTAGTGGACAATCACTTAAATATGAGCCAGCAGTGTGCTGCAGCTGCCAAAAAAGCCAACACAGTGCTAGGCTGCATTAACAGAGGGATAGAATCAAGATCATGTGAAGTGTTAATACCACTTTATAATGCCTTGGTAAGGCCACACTTGGAAATTGCATCCAGTTTTGGTCACCACAATGTAAAAAAGACGTTGAGACTTTAGAAAGAGTACAGAGAAGAGCAACAAAGATGATCAGGGGACTGGAGGCTAAAACATATAAGGAATGGTTGCTGGAATTGGCTATGTCTAGTTTAATGAAGAGAAGGACGAGGGGCGACATGATAGCAGTGTTCCAATATCTGAGGGGTTGCCATAAAGAAGAGGGAATCAGGCTATTCTCCAAAGCACCTGAAGACAGGACAAGAAGTAATGGATGGAAACAATCAAAGAGAGAAGCAGCCTAGAACTAAGGAGAAATTTTCTAACAGTTAGAACAACTAATCAGTGGAACAACCTGCTTCCAGAAGTTGTAAATGTTCCAACACTGAAGTTTTTAAGAAGAGATTGGACAGCTATTTGTCTGAAATGGTATAGGGTTTCCTGCCTGAGCAAGGAGCTGGACTAGAACAGGGGTCCCCAACCCCTGGGCCATGGACCAGTACTGGGCCGCAGCATGCCAGCAACTGGGCCGCACAAACAAGCAAAGCCTCATCCACGGGATGCAGGCAGCACACAAACCATGCCCCCTCCTGTCCGCAGAAAAATCTCTCTCCATATAACCGGTCCCTGGTGCCCAAAAGGTTGGGGACCTCTGGACTAGAAGACCTCCAAGGTCCCTTCCAAGTACAAGTATAAGTACAACTACTACTTATTATTATTATTATTATGGATCATCGCACAGTCAGCCAGATGTTCAGACTGGATTTGGCATTTTGTCTACCTATCGAGTCCTTCCCAGGACCTGGGATAGGCAGAAATGGATGTTCGATGGTATTACAGATATCGTCGCAGGATGGAAGCAGTTCCTAGTAAGGCCGCCTTTTGCAACTGACTAATAGCAAATTTGTCGATGCCAATGGTGTTCAAGTGGTGCTCCAGTTGTTTTGGGATTGCACCCAAGGAGCCTATTACTATTGGTACTACCCTTGATTGCTTTTGCCACAGTCTTTCTATTTCTATTTGTAGGTCTTTGTATTTTGTTATCTTCTCCAGTTCTTTCTCTTCTATTCTGCTGTCTCCAGGCACTGCCACGTCCACTATCCAGACTTTTTTGTCTTTCTTATCGACCATTGTTAAGTCTGGGTGTTATGTTGCAGGTGCTTGTCTGTTTGAATTCTGAAGTCCCAGAGCAGTTTAATTTTATCATTTTCTATGACTTTCTCTATTTTATGATCCACCAGTTTTTGCTTACAGGCAAATGATATTTTTTGCAGATCTTCCAATGCACCATTGTTGCTACTTTGTCATGCCGCTGCTTGTAGTCAGTCTGTGCAATCTTCTTGCAACAGCTTACCAGGTGGTCCACTGTTTCTTCAGCTTCTTTGCATAGGCGACACTTACTGTCTGTTGCTGTCTTCTCAATTTTGACTTTATGTGCATTTGTCCTTAAGGCTAGGTCTTGTGCAGCCGGAAGGTTGGTCTTCTTGGTCTCTTTCTTCAATTTTCCTGCTCTTAGCCATTGCCAGGTCTTGTTATTATCTGCTTTCCCAGCTATTTTTTTAATGTATTGGCCATGTAGTGCTTTGTCTTCCCATGCCTCTATTCTGTTCTTCATTTGGTCTTTCTTGTAGGCCAGTTTGGTCTCTCCAGTAGTCAGTAAGCCTTCCTGATTTACTAATTTCAGTGCATCTTCATCATTGTTCTTCAGATATTCTTCCAAAGCCATTTTTTCTTCTTCAACCATCTGATGTACTTGTAGCATTCACGCCTACCTATTTGCCTTGGTAGATAAAGTCTGTCAATGTCACTGCGTGGATGAAGGGCATGATTCATTGTCATTATTTTTCTGGTCTTCCTATCCATTGCTTTTAGTTCTGCTTGAGTCCAGTCCACTATTCCAGCTGTGTATCTAATGACTGGAATTGCCCAGGTGTTGGTTGCCTTTATGGTATTTCCTCCATTGAGTTTGGACTTTAAGATTTTCTTCACTTTCTTGATGTATTCACCTCTAATCTTTTTCTTAAGTTCAGTGTGCTTGATGTTGTCAGCTTGAAGGATACCCAAGTATTTGTAGTACTCTTCCTCATTCAGACTCTTAATGTTATTTTCGTGGGGCATCTTGATTCCTTCAGTTTTCACTACTTTTCCTTGTTTGATAGTAAGTGAGGCACATCTGTCCAAGCCAAACTCCATAACAATATCTTGGCTATATATACGGATAGTGTTGAGCAGCGATTCTATTTCAGATGATGTTTTTCCATACAGCTTCAGATCATCCATGTAAAGGAGATGGGATAGTCTGGCAAAGGTTTTTGATGTTTGATAGCCATGTCCTGAGTTATTCAGTATTGTTGGCAGAGGAAACAGTACAATAACAAATAGTAATGGTGACAATGAATCTCCTTGAAATATTCCTCTCTTGATATTAACCTCTCCCAGTCTCTCACCATTGATCTGCAACTGTGTCTTCCATTGTGCCATCGATCTTTGCACAAATTTTCTGATGTTTCTACTGACTCCTGTTATTTCTAGGCATTTGATTATCCAGTCATGTGGCAGAGAGTCAAATGCCTTTTTGTAGTCAATCCATGCCACATTCAGGTTGGTCTTCCTTTTCTTGCAGTTTTCCAAGATCATTTTGTCCATTAGGAGTTGATCTTTTGTTCCTCTGCTATTGGGGCAGTTTCCTTTCTGCTCAGGTGGAAAGAGATTGTTTTCAACTAGATGCTGTTGTACTGCATCATCTACCACACCAGTTAGTAATTTGAAAATTGTTGGTAAGCAGGTAATTGGCCTGTGTTGCCCCTTTTGCTGGATTTTTCATTATTAGGTAGGTTTTCCCAGTTGTTAGCCACTTTTCAATTTCTCCTCCTTGTAGTATATTGTTGAACTGCTTGGCAATGAGTGGGTATATAACAATTAGATGTTTCAACCCAAACCCATGCAGTTCATCTTCACCTGGTGCTGACCAATTTTTAATTTTCCTTGCTCTTTTTTCTACCATTTTTGTTGTTATTACTAGCTCTTTCATTTCAACTTCTGTTTTATTTGCATCCACCTCTTTTAACCAAGCCGCATCCTTGTTGTATTTCTTAGGGTTATCCCATATCTGCTTCCAGAACTGCACTGTTTCTTCCTTGTCAGGTACTGACTGATTCATGCAGTTTCTTCATTGATGGATTGGTAGAAACGTTTCTGATTGGATTGAAATTGGAGGTTCTGCCTATAGTTTGCAATTCGAGCTTCATATCTACTGATTTTCCTGGCTATAGTGTTATTTGTTGCTTTATTATTTCCAGTGCTTCCTTGATCTTCCTTGTTTCTAAGTGGTATTTCTTGATTAGGTATTCTTTGGTCTTCTTGTTCTTCAGCTTCTTTTCTTTCATCTGTTCTAGCTTGCCTGCATGTGATCTTAACTTGCTGATCTTATTTTCTAGTCTAACCTTCCATTTTTCTGGTGCACTGTTTGTTTCTTTTTCTTCTTTGTTGATTTTGCATCCCAGGTATTCTGTTATAACTGCAGCTGTGCTGTACATTAGTTGGTTTGTTTCTTGCAGTGAATTGGTGATTATACTTGATATTGCAGTATTTGCATCTTTTAATGCTTGTGCTAGCTGTTTCTTTGGAACAAGCTTCAATGCAGGCAGCCTTATTCTGTTGTTTTTGTGCTGTTCTAGATGCTCAGTTATTCTTTGTTTCAATTCTTTTATTTCTTTAGTTAGAGGGTTTTGTTCTTCCTGAGGAAGAGGTGCCTGGTTTCCAAATGAGAACAGTTGTATATCTCTGCTGATTCCTTCACTGCCAACTCCCCCTGGTTTGCCTCTACATTCTGAATTACTTCTGGTAAGGCTTTGATTTCTTTGCCCTGGGTAAATCTTTGCAGTTCGTCCAATTCTGTTTCTGTGAATACTTTATTTCGTATTATAAATCGGCGTTGATCTGCTAGTCTCTGTTCTGTTATTTCTGATTCTGGATGTTGTTCTTTCCAGAACTGGTGCATTCGTTTTAGATATCCTCTTCTTGTTGGACTTGATCTGTAATAACAGATCATTATTTTTTTGTTTTCAATCACTGTGTATCTGCGATGGGTAGACACCTTTTCTTCCAGTAGTTCTGCAGCTGCTGGCCCTGGTTGCTCAGCCAACAGTCCTGAGTCCTGTAACTCATTTTTCACCAGATATCCAGGAACTCCAGTATCTAGCGCGGACCTTGTTAACCCGGGCGACATCCGAGCCGGTATGGCATTCTGCAATTTACGTCTCACCATATTTTTTTATGGGAGAGACACTCTTTGTCTGACTCCTCTGATGAGACCTGTCCAGTATGGTTGAACCTCTGGCATAGCTCTCATCTTCCCCAGAGTACACAAGCCCCACAACCACATCAAGGTAGTGCCTCACTGGGGTATTATTATTATTAATTATTTTCTCTTTTGCTCCAATGTGGAATTCCATATGTATTTCTTTTCTCTCCCCCAGATGTTTAACATTTACATCAAAACTCTGGGAGAGGTCATCTGTCCATTTGGGGTGAATTATCATCAGTACTGGGCCAGCAATATGGTTGAAGTCCTGGCCTAGTGCCTGGAAGCTATAAGAAGGGGAAAGACAAATAGAAGTTGAATATCAGCAAGGATGAATTGCTGTTTATACAGCAATCAACTGGCCGGAGGCCCAGACAACAGAGTCACACACCTTTGTGTCCTCCTGCCTAGATTACTGCAATGTGCTGTAAATGGGGCTACCTTTTGAAGGCTACTTGGAACTGGAATTAGTTCAAAATGCAGCACCCTTTTTGTTAAATTTGCATTTAACACCAGTGCTTCAGGTTCTGCATTGGTTTTCAGACTTCTGGTACAATTCAAAATGACCTATAATGTTCAATTCGGCTTGGCAAGATTGTCTACGTTAAATGAATCCTATCTGGACAGCATCCACATCCTGGGAAGGATGCTAATGGTTTCTTGCCACACGAGACCCAATGAGACAGCAAGACGTTATATGTCTCTGTAATATCTACAACTGCCTCTTGATAATCATCTGGGAGCCATCTTTCAGAAAAGCTATCAAAATGAAACCATTAGGTACAACAGGGGCTCCAATTAAAATTTCTGATATGCCTATTATTTTATAGCTAAGAGTAAATTATTAAATGGCTTGACACATTAGTATTGACTTGGAGATTACTGTTAGGCTTATTTTTTATTCTAAACTATCATGAGTATCTGTATACTGTGACTATTTGTCTATCACAACTGTCTATAATATTCTTTAAAATTTTATTTATGCTGCCCAAATCTGGATGATGTAATATTAATAAATTATTATGTCAAATCATTATCGCAGAAGACACGCATCTCTCTGCCTTATATTAATAATGTCTCTGAGGCGACAGCCAGACTGTTAGCCCCCTACAGCATAGAAGTGGCTCATAAGCCCAGACAAACACTGCGTTCCAAAATTATGCACCCCAAGGACCCACTCCCCACCATGGAAAAATCTGCAGTGGTTTACAAAATTGACTGTAAGAACTGTCAAAGTAATTACGTGGGTGAAACAGCCAAACAGTTAAGAACTTGTTTGCACGAGCACAAATTGGTGATAAAAAGGGGCAAGCAACACTCCCAGGTTTGGACGCACATGGCAGAATATGGTCACCAATTTGATTTTGACAACGTACGGGTTGTATCCAGCGATACCACAAAAAGGGGCCGACTGCTAGAGGAAGCCTGGTTTTCAGACAAGGACTCGATTAATCGCCACATAGATCTTTGCCCGACACAGCAGGCACTGAGGAAATGGAGTGCGAATCGCCACCCCACTCGCCATAAACAATTTGACTGACATTTGCGGGACCGAGGTGGCGTTATATCTAATCTTCGATATAAACGGACTAACGAGAATCTAACCGACCCTCAGCGGCTTACGGGCATTCCCTTGACACCCAGCCAACAGTGGACTCATTCCGACCAACAGCTGAGGAGCCAGCTGACATTGAAGACGGATAGGCGTTTATCGGGAGCCGAGCGCTCTTCGGGAGGTGGAGGAGCCCGCCGGGTGGGGGACTTGTGTGATCTCCAACCGCACTCCAAAAGACCCCCACCGCCTGGATAGAGGAGGGAAGCCTATGGCGCCAGCGGGGGATCCAGGGGATCGGGAGGCGAAACTTTAGAGCCCGAATCGCCACCCCACTCGCCATAGACAACTTGACCGACATTTGCGGGACCGAGGAGGCGGCGTTATATCTAATCTCCGATATAGATGGACTAACGAGAATCTAACCGACCCTCAGCGGCTTACGGGCATTCCCTTGACACCCAGTCAACAGCGGACTCATTCCGACCAACAGCTGAGGAGCCAGCCGACACTGAAGACGGATAGGCATCTATCGGGAGCCGAGCGCTCTTCGGGAGGTGGAGGAGGGGGAGCCCGCCGGGCGGGGGACTCATGTGATCTCCAACTGCACTCCAAAAGACCCCCACCGCCTGGATGGAGGAGGGAAGCCTATGGCACCAGCAGGGGATCCAGGGGATTGGGAGGCGAAACTTTAGAGCCCAATGCTGCTTGCGATAATGAAGAGGGGCGATTTGTACGTAGAAGAAGGGAGTGTGGTGTGGTGACTCACTCGTACCGCAAAAGAGAGGGATATACTTCTCCTCCCTCTCACTCCATGGGTGGGCAAAGGATTACGGATGGGGGACGCTTGTGCCTACAACTGGAGTCTCCGGTGGAATGCATGCACGGGGGATCCATCCCGGATGAGAGCGATGACCACCAGCAACGGATAGAACAGCAAGAGACAGCTGATGTAGAGAGTACTAAGTGGGGGGTGAAGGTGGAAGCGCCAAGCCGTATGACATCCAGATAAGTGCTACCTATGTGGGAAAGGGGAATAGGATAGGGAACAAGGAACACTATTGAACACTATCGCCCAACCCACTATTGAAGGGAGTGGGAGGAAATAGTTGGAGCCTCAATGGGACATACAAAGGCACTAAGGGAAAATCTAATGGCCCTCCCCCCAAGACCCGTAGTAAAGAGAGCTGGGTGAAGAAGGGTGAGGGCAGTACGGAAGTAACTCCCATCAAAGGGAAGGGAGATGAAAGGATTTTAACAAAGCAGGCATGACGTTCCCCTCTCGGCTTGGGTGCGGCTCATATACATATATAAATTCCAAATTGTAGGTTTCTCCATTTCCCCCAAGTAATTAATTCGCCGCTTTTATTTTCCTGAGGGAATGGGGCGGAAATTCCCTTTCCCTCTTCATCGGGTAGAGTGCTTTGGGTAGATTTTCAGGAAAATCTCTTAAAGTCATAGAGGTTCAGGTCTCACCCAGTTTCATCCATGTTGCTATAAAATTGCTTGTTAGTGCTTGTTGTCTTCCATTGACAGCAGCTTCTGACTGGCTACGCGAATGTAGCCAGTCTTTCCCGTGCCAGTTTGGAGGGCTTCCTCAGAGCAAATGGGAGGGCTGCCGCCCCCCTGAGATCAACGAGGATCCCCTCCTTGCTTCTTGCCTCTACAGGGTCTCCCAGCGGGGCAAAATCGAACATCAAAGACTGAGCCCTATCTTCCTGCATCTGCTTTGCCGTGACATCAAAACCAGAAGCCAGTCTCAGGTATTTTTTAGCACCATCCATAGGAAGTAGTTTGGAGGGGTAGCCACACAGATTGTTTGAATAAGTCATGAGATATCCTGCTACAATTTGCATTTTATATATTGTATATCCTGTTTTCCTATCAACTGACTTCTAAATATTTTGTGACCTCCTGAGATGTACGTAATTCAAATGCTTGAGCAATCATTGGTGAATTAAAATATTTTTGAAACACGAAAAGCCAATTTTGAAAGCATTTTAAATAATTTATTTAATAACTTACTGTTGGTTTCTTCCCCTCTTTCAACAAAGTTTTTCTTCTAAGAACCCCTTTAATAGTAACAGCTCCTGGATATAAATGAACAGCTAAATCTTCAGACTCAGCAGAACTAAAAAAAAAAAGCAACTGTAAAGTATGGGAAGGTATTGTGTATTTCAATAGAAATTCTTGAAGTATCACTAATATCTATGTTTTCTGAAACTACCATTTTAATTATTGGATTTAATTATGGAAACTTTTAGAAGAATTATATATTTTACTTGCACAGCACTAATTAACATGCTAATAACTGACTTATAAATAACTATAACTTTCACTATATACTATGACAAAGAACTACAAATAATTCTAATTAGCAAAAAAGTTGAAATCAACTCCACTTTAAAAAGTCCTTTTCTTTTATTTTAAATAATTCTTTCCAGACTTTTCCAGATATGCTAAAAATATTGGTTTTATAGTAATCATTTGAGTTAATGAAAAAAAGTATAAAAAGAAAAACAAAGAAAAACAGCAAGAGCTTAATACATGCAGACTATCATACCAAGATATTTGAAACAATAACAGAAGCAGCAGGAAAGCAGAAAAGCTGGCCCAGAGCTGTTAAAATAAAACTGCTGTAATATAGGTTGTGTTCTAACAAGTGAGTAGCTGACCAACTTTTAATGACAGGAAATATTTGACTGCACAAGTGTTTGTGTAACTGCATACCAAGCAACTTATGTGGCATAGCCATCATTCTCCAGAGACAGATTAAAAAGGAAAAATTTCTGAAACATCTTGGAGAATTTCTTCCATATATCTTTCAACTACTTAGCTTATAAACTAAGAGAGATGACAAACTTTCTAGACCTTCAAAAAGTTAACATATACTTGTCCACATTACATCAGATAATAACAGTTATTTGAGGCTAGATTAATGTTCACTGAAGAATTTAAAAAGACCTTGATGTGAATGTAAATGCTTCTCATAAAATGTTATTCAAAGCAACCTTAAGGCAAGGAATGCTCTGTTCTTTGTATAGCATTGCTAAGAAAACAAAGATGAAGGGGAGCCTTTTTTATTTTATGATATTATTATTACTGCAATTTAAAAAAAAACTGCCTTTTTTTGGTAAAAGGCACTATGGCACAGAGACTCATCTTCAGTGACATAGTTTTTGTCTTCTAATTAAAAACTGCCAAAGGTATTCTGGAGAGGTGTGAGAATAGGCAAGGAAGGGGATAGGCAACTGAATTTGGGGGACCTGGCCATACCAGTTATCCTACACTTCTTTCTGCCTTTCTGGAAATAATGGGCATTTTACAATTTATATGGCTCAGGATAAAAAGAAAAAGCAACTCTTAATTCTCACTCAATCTTCAAAGTTCCAACATTATTCCTCTTGCCATTTGATTACTTCTGGTACCATCCAGTATCATAAATGATGGTTTAGAGGGTTTTTTTTTTAAAGTAGTGAGCTAAGTAAAACATTTTTGGAATTTTTTGAGTAATTTTATAAAATCAGATATGCAGATTACAATGGGCCAGCCATAGGCTGTGAAGATATGATTAAGTTTTAAGACATATATCCTGTTTCGATAGAGAATGTTCACCAATGTGATATGTCAAGATAGTTAGAAAGAACAGGAGTGTCAGATTACATCCACGTCACTATCAAATCAGTCACCAGCACCAGAGGAAAATGTCTGGCCCTTGAACACAAGGGATTGGTACCTGCTGCCCTTCATGTGGCTCCAATAGCCATTTCGTGCTATTCTTGTCACCGGACCAAGAGAATGGTATAATCTGTTCCTGTTGGATTTCATTATAAATGGTACGGGTTACATTTTTTGAATTCATAGTCATCATTTGTTAGAACACTATAATAAGCTTTCCTTTCTGCTACATTGCTACTTCTTCTTGTTCTGTAATCACCCATGTATTTCAGTTTTCAAAAGATCTTTTCTTATTTGAACACATGTTCTTGGTGTGAACACATATAACAATAAAATATTCTTACTGGCATCCCAATGAATGATTAGACAATCAATATCTTAAATAAATAACATCTACAGTTAAAACAAAACATTTCTAAAAGGCAAGTGATCGGGAGCAATGTAGTTACCTTAGAACAGTGTTTCCCAAACTTGACAATTTTAAGGCATGAGGACTTCAACTCCCAGAATTCTACAGCCAGCAACGCTGGCTGTGGAATTCTGGGAGTTGAAGTCCTCATGCCTTAAAATTGTCAAGTTTGGGAAACACTGCCTTAGAATATGAAAACATTCTCTCATAAAGTGGTTTAACATTGTATCTTGGCTTTTTCTTCTGAATAAATTCAGAGATTATATGATGCATATAGGTGTGGCATGAATGCGATGTGTGAGGGGCTGATGTGGCATGACTGCAGAAGGGCTGGAGGATGATGTGAGAATGGGGGAACTTATTCCAGTGACTTACAACATTCTCTGCTGGCTTCCCCATTAACTTTCCGAGGAAATCAGCGGGAAGGTTGCAAATGGCGATTATATGATAATGGGGTACTTGGCAACTTGTTGTAAATGCAAATGAGTTCCATGCACCCAAATTGTAATCATGTGACCAGACGAATGCTGGAATACCCAGAACTCTGAGGATCGATTGTAACACCATTCATTCAGAACTGTTATAACTTGGATTTATACATCAAGAACTACCTCTATTTATATTGACAGAACTATTGTTGTATGCATTTTACTGAGCAAAAATGCATTAAAGTAATCTAAGCCAGGGAATAAAAAGTATTTGAACAGTTCATCCTGCAGAAGAAAATCCTTTAGTTTTATAGAATCAACTATGATTCTACTAGCTTCTTATGTTACTTCATTTGTACTGAACTGGGAGCGGCACAAGCACCTCAGATCATAGTGGTGCTTTATCAAATGATCAATGCCTTTCACTTGAAAGCTGTTGCAATGATATACAAAATAAAAGTAATTTTCTAAAAACAATAGTAGATTTACAGCATGTTTTTATATAAGTCAATCATATACATTCACTAAGATAGAAAAGTCAGTCATCTACTGTTCTAAATTGGTCAGGCTGCATCACAGGAGAACTGTCACTTGGATTTTACTCCAAGCCTATACTGTAAATAGGAGTTCAGCTTTGGGAAGCTTCTTTCAACAATCTCCCAAATAGTTGTAAGTAGATGATGAACCACTTATATAAGCTGCATATGTTCCCTTTGAACAAATTTGTTACAAAACAGGATTCTGGGACCCCTGCCAAAATATTAGTAATAATACACCCTCCAGAAAACTTGCATGATCGAACTACTTTAGCCATTATTTTTTGTCTTACATATATAACCCATGTGTAGGAAAAGCAGTGCTTTGATTAAAAAGCAGTATACCAGGAAAGTTAAGTACACTTGGTACACTTTTTTATGTGGAAATGTAAAACTGTCATATGTTAAATACATGTATGTATGAATAAATATAAAATATATTGACTTCTCTTACCTTTCAAATGCTGGCCATGAAGTTTCTTCACTGAGCTCTGAACCATCACTGCTACCTAAAATCAGAATGAATAAATTTAAAAACTCTCTAATTTTATGATTTACCAAGCCTGAAAAATGTTTCAAAAAAACTCTACCCATAATAAAACTGACTCAATTGCAATGACAGTTAGTTTAAAAGAAAACAACTTATTTCTGGGAGTTTTGTTTATGAGATTAATTGCGCATACTAATTTTTATGTTCAATTTCTCTCTCCCCACTTAACTGTTAGAACTCACTTAAATTCATATAGTTTAATTGCATAATATAATTTAATTGCATTATATTAAATATGAATATGAATATGTATATAGTATTTGTTCTTTGTTTAGTAAATGAATAGGCATTTGTGCTTCTTCTTTCATTATGTTGTCTCTATGGAAGAAATGAAGTAGAACAATAACAATTTAGCACCATCTTCTGGAATTAGCCAACTCCTTATAAACTCTAGAATCTAAAATTGCTTAACTTTGTAATGTCTTTCCCCTTCCACCATTATTGGACCAGGTGCTTCTTTCCCAACTGGTCTCATTTTCGATCCCTGAGCCTGCTTCAGCAGGTTGCAGTGAAATACTGGGTGCACTTTCCCCAGTACTCTAGGCAGTTTCATTTCTACAGTCACTGGGTTAATAATACTTTTAATAATAATTATAATAATAATTTTCATGATCAGGAAATGGCCTATGTATTTAAGACCTAGCTTTTTACAGGGAATCCTCAACTTTAGGTATTTGGTGGATAGATACATTTTATCTCCTACATGGAACGTTCCCTGGGGAGCTTGCTTCTTATCCTCTTGTTTCTTTTGACTCTCTGTTGCTTTGGCAAGTGCTTTCCTCACATTATCCCAGATGCCTTTTAGGGAATCTACCCAATCAGCTAATTCACCAATGAGGGGGTCTCTCTTGGGCATTCTGGTATTGGCACAAACTCCACTCCTGTAGCTATCTTAAATGGGGTATGCCACTTGTATGCCACTTCAGAGAATGGCAGGAACTCTGCCCAATTAGATTGCTGGTAGTTGACATAACAACACAGGTACTATTCCACCATTTCATTGGTTCATTCTGCAGCTTCATTTGTACTCGGATGAAAAGCTGATGAACTAAGACCCTGGGAGGACCCTATCAGCTTTAAAAATTCACACCAAAACTTGGTAGTAAATTGGATTCCTCGGTCCGAGATTATGCATTTAAGCACTCCGCATAGCCAGTAAATACGTTGCAGGAACATCCTGGCCAATCTCTGGGCTGATGAGAGGCTGGAACATGTGGAGAAGTGGGCCTGCTTTGAGAATAGGTTCACCACTGTCCATATCACCATATGCCCTCCACTATCTGGAAGCTCGACTATAAAGTCCATGGCTATCTCTTCCTAAGGCTGGGTCAGGTCAGCCACTTGCTGCAGCAATCACGGAATCTTCCCTGGTTGGCGCTTCATGGCCATACACATGGCACAGCTTTTCACCTAACTTTCAATGTCCTTCTTGAGGAGCAGGAGGTACATATTCTCCACACATACCCCATTTATTCCATGGAAATTGATACACAATCTCAGCGAGCCATCCTTTCTTCTCCTTGAATAGCACTAGGGCTGCCACTCTGGATTTAGCGGCCTGGATGAAACCCGTAGCTAGATTCTTGTCAATGTCATCTCTCAGCTCCTTCAACTCTTTTGGAGTCATAGAGTACATATTTGGTTTGGGGCGTTCCGCTCCAGGCAAGATTTCAATTGCACAGTCCGTGGGATGATGGGAGGGGGGCAAGGCGTTGCATGAAGCTTCTATAGAACTTCATACTAGACATTGAAAAGATAGTAAATTCTGAGTAATTTAACAACATGGGAGATTTTAATTAAAAAATCATCAGGTTACTAACTTTGTTTGTAGTGTGCGCAAGTTTATCTTCCCCCATTATCCTATGTATGCTGTGTGGATAGTGCCTATGCATGCTGTTTAAATAATATGGAGGAGAGGTAGCATATAAATATAATGAAAAAATTATACAAATTTGAATTTCAAAAGACACTTTTACTGACTGAGATAAAATCTCACCTATTGAAATTCCACTGGAAAGAGTGGAGCTCTCTGCTTGCCCCCGTAATGGAGCATGTGGTTCCATGACACTATCATCTAAAAGATGCCTTGGTCCTGCATTTGGGAATGTTGCACTTTTAAATTCTGCTGTGTTCATTTTATGAATGAAACTAGAAAAGTAGTAAAATACATTAAGATTGATCACATTATTAAAACAGTAAATATAACACAGTATCAAAAGTATATTTAATAATAGATCAGACCTCAATAATCAAATCCAAAGGGAAAGACAGAATAAAGGTAATTAAAAAAGTTTAAAAAGATAAATGTTCCCAAGAATATGTAATTGTATAATAGATATGAAATAGACATAGATGAATTAGTTAATATTTTCGTACTAAAATTCTACAATTCCTGCTTTTTTCTTTTAATGTACATGTACTTTATACCTTTATAAACAATGGGCAAATATTTATGAACATGGACTATTAAAGAATGGATTCCAATGTTACACTTAGAAATGGGCATGGAAGAATGAAAATGTTATTAGGAAGTTATGTCTGCTGCCAGTGTTTAAATATTGGTCTTTCTTTACCACAAGCAGCCTAAATAGATTGCCAACCACATTTACAATCATAAAGTGATTTGCAAGCAAGAAGCTGTATGTATGTACTTTGCAATTTAATTCCTAAATTTTTGGAACTAATGTTTAAATATGAGGATTAACTGCATTTCTTTTCTTTTTCTTTTTTCTTTTGCTCTGAGCAAGAGGATGATGAGTAGTAAGGTAGAGGGACTTAGTTATAGTAATGACTGGTGCACCAATGGAAGACATGAAGGACCAAGTAAGAGACAGATTATTTTGGAGAAAATCTATCCCTGTGTTTGCTAAGAACTGACATTGACTTGATGAAGCATAATCAATCAATATATGAACAATTGGGTTCAGTCTATAAATCAATATGAAACCATGGCTTGTCAGTTTAATGACTGTAACTATGATTTCACAAAACATTATAAACAGAAATACACAATTTCTTGTTTTATGCCTAATTTGTTTTGTTTCCTGAAAACAGAAAGGAGCCATTTAGATCACTGAGTTAACCTGCTAATCCAAATGTCCTATTCAAAGCTCTAACAATAAAGCAAAGCAAATTAAAACAAAATAGAAAAATATTCTGTAATCAGTCAAATAAACAATAAATACTTTGTGATGGTAGAATTATATATATCTCAAGATTGACATATTGTATTGTTAGCCTTTTCTCTGTTTTTGACTGTTTCTCTGTTTTGGAGTTCCAACAATGTCATGATTGCATTGCCTGTCTACAAATCTGAGTTTGGCTTGTTTAACAGATTATTTAATAATCCTCAGTTATCACGATTTACTTATATTTATCTTGTATTTACTTATAAAAAAGGTACTGAGCTATTTAAACAACCTAATATACATACTGCATAAAAAGTCAATGGCAAAGAAGTACTTAATTCATATATATGGTTTTTTAAATAACAATAATTTGGAGTATAATGAATTTAAATAACAGAAGGAACTGAATCTCAAATGAGATGCTAACTTGTATCCCAAACTGTGACATTTTCTATGCCCATGAGGCATCAGGTTTCTAGGAGATGGAGGAGTTGGTGGTAGCAATGCTTCTTCAGCAGTAGCATTCTTTCGCACCATTTGGGGAGAAACACCCACTTCAGGGCCTGGAAAAAATAAGTAAAATGAGTAGAGCAAAGAGCAAGTTTGTTATTATAATTCTTCAAAAATCTTCAAAATAATTTGGAAGTACATATACAGATTTTATCTATTTCCTTCTCTTTTTAGTTTATTTTAAAGTTTGCTTAAATTAGATTTGCTTAAAAAAAGATTTTATGGATATTATAAACCCAGAAAATAGGAATACTGGGGAGTAGAATCAGAGTGTTTTATTGTTGAGTACTTACCAACTAAATCTTCATGAGATGCAGTGGGGCGTGAGGTACTGGTCCCAGGTTCTATTTTTAATGAAAGTCTGTGTTAAGAAAAAAAAAATTGCTAATAGCAAATTCAGACATCTACACTTACTTTCATTTTCTAGGACAGGGGTCCTCAATCCCTGGTCCGTGGACCAGTACTGGGCTGCGGCATGCCAGCAATGGGGCCGGACAAAAAAGCAAAGCCCCATCTGCAAGAAACAGGTAGCACATAAAACCACACACCCTCTGGTCCGTGGAAAAACCTCTCTCCATGGAACCGGTCCCTGGTGCCCAAAAGGTTGGGGACCTCTGTTCTAGGACATCCTACTAGGAATCCATCAATAAATCATTTGAGCCAGATTGGTGGTGGTTAAGGTGCTGACCTAGAAACAAGGAGACTGTGTCCCTTAAGCATGAAAATGTCTGGATGACCTTAGGCAGTCATTCTCTCTCAGCCCAACAGATATCATAGGTTTGTTGTTTTGGGGAAAGTAGAAGGCAGGAGTGTTAAGTATGTTAACCATCTTGAGTTACACATATGAAAAGGTGAGATAAAAATATAATTAGCTTCTCACAGTAGTATCGAACCATGAATTAGGTGCCGTATAAATTTAAAAAAACCCCAAAATAAATAGTAACCGTTATCATATTTTGACAGATTTAAATAAAAAAAACTTCAATTTTTTTAATAAGTAAGATACAAAATATCCATTTTTTTTATTTTAAAAGAAAAATGGGTGATTTAGAAGTGCCATTTAAAAACGCTGTGATTTCCTGGAAACTTTCTCCCACTCTGTATAACTTAAAGAAAAGAAGAAAGAAACAGTTACACATATAACTGCTATATGTCAATTAGTTTTTAAAAAGGCCAATATGGATTTATATGATAAATACCAAATACTGCAGTTAATAACAGAGTAAGAAATTGGGAGGGAAGATGATTAAGAATACGGGAATGTAACAAATAATTCATAATAGATTAAGACTGTCTTAGATCTTGAACATCTGTTAATTCTTATTCATCTGTTAGATTTATATTCCACCTTTCCTATAGGAACTCAAAGGAAATTACATTGTAATCTCCTCAGAAATCAGAACCCTGTATTGCAGGTTGGGTGGAGAGAATTACTGCTCACCCAGTGAATTTCATTCCTAGTTCAATACCTAAACCACCACAGGGCTTTCTGTTTATTCTTTTCATTCATTCATTTTTAATATTTACAGCTAAGGGTTATATTCTAGGAAAGAAAGAGAAAGGAAAAAAAGAAAAAAAAGAAAGAGAAAAAAAGAAAGTATTCATGAAAAATGAGAGCCTATAAAGAGAAATGTCCTAAAAATTTGAAACACTTATGAAACAAAACTACGTATTGTTTTGTTCTTTATGAAAAATTACTTTAGAAACAAAAATTTAATAATGAATATATCACAATTGACTAGATTATATACTTACTTATAATTATCATCTTCCACAAACTTCTGAAGTTCCTCTATATACTGAACAGAATTCAGGTACTTTTGAACATGAGGCAACACAGGAATATCTAAATAGTAATTAGTATATAATGGAGAGCAGTTATTTTATTGCAGCCATTAAGATCTATGTATTTTTATATGGCATGATTTCATATCAATGTTAACTATTATTGTTATATTATCATCTTCCTTTTCCCCCCACAACAGCAGGCATTTAGCTAACTACTATTCTCACAAATGTCTGTGATACAATTAAGACCAACTTGTTTATAAGAATCTTAATAGCAGTAATTAGATGGGGAAGGAAAAGCAGGAAACTAGGCTATGCACATAAAATCAGATTTTGTTTTTCTTTGAAGTCATTTCACTTCTCATCCACAAAGCATCTTCAGTTCTGACAGGATGGTGGGGAATGGAGGGATTTATATTCTTTGCAGACAGCTGATTATTTGCATTTTTTTAGAGCAGGGGTGTCAAACTGCAGGTCTGTGGGCCGGATGCATCATAGCAAAACCATGCCCATCCCATTGCTAGCAATGGCAAAAAAAGTCACCATACGTCTTGACACGTCACGAGATGTTGCGACTTTAACACCCCTATTTTAGAGAGTCACTGAGAACACTTGAAGGTTTGTTTGTGTCTTCAGGATCACCTGAGTAGTGCAAATGGGTGAGGAGCCTTCTTGGAACTGCTGAAAAGATTGTGTTGTGGAGCTCTGTTTTTTGCAGGATGTTTTCTGCCCTGTGTCCTTTCACTGTTGAACAACTAAAGGATATATGGCCTTGCTGTCCCCTTGCTCTTAATGTGAAATCTGGCAACCTCATTCCCAGCTAAAATATATTAAAAACTGCTTCATATCAATAAAAAGGTAAAGATTTCCCTGTCAGGTATGTCCAATTCTAGGGCACAGTGCTCATATCCGTTTCTTGGCCGAGGGAAGTCAGCATTCTGTGGTCATATGGCCAGTATGGCTATATGCCAAACACATACGGAATTCTGTTACCTTCCCATTGAAGTGGTACCTATTAATCTACTTACATTTGCATGCTTTCAAACTGCTAGGTGGGCAAGAGCCGGGGCAAGTAAGAGGAGCGCACCTTGTTGTGCAGACCTCAGGTCTCAAAATGAGGCTGTCAGCTCTCTGACAAGCTCAGCATCTTTAACGGCTGAGACATTGCGCCCCACTCATAAGAGTAATGTCATATTAATAAATGTTGGTGGCTATTAATCTTCTGTATATAGAATTCTGATTACAATTCTACATATATATATATATAAATTGAAACTCACATTTAAAATTTGCTTTATAGATGTTACATATTTTGTGATTTCCTAAATATTCTCACCCAATAATCATCTTGTATTTAGTCAGATCTAAGACTTTGCCCAATAACATGATTTACATCTCCTCCAATGCAATAAACAAAATATTTTTCAGACAAGTACTGAAAAAAAAAACTTATAAATTTCTCTTCTTAGAGCATCAGAGATGGCTTTTGATCTCAGGGAATTTGCATATATAACCATAGTTTCTTTGAACAGGAGGGAGCTGTCTAACCCTTGCAGACAAGCAGCATCCTAGAATTCCGGAGATAATTTCACTCTGCCAAAAACATGTAACCTTGTGTAAAGAAAATAAAAAAGAAAAAAAAAACAACAACAACCCAAATCATCAGCCTGATAAATTGGGTAGAGACAGGATAAAAATAAATTCCAGGCCACATGAATGCAAAAGCTCTATTATTTTGAAGAAAAATATCTATTTCTAAGTAACAAAATACAAAAAAACAGAAATGCATAAAGGAAAAAAAAATATTTGTTTCCTCCAAATATTCACAGTAAATATTCTAGACCTTAGGACAGGGGTGTCAAACTGGCGGCCTGCAGCTGGATGCATCACACGCAGGTTACGCCCACCCCGGTTGTGCAAAGGCAAAAAACATCACAATATGTCATGACACACCATGTGACTCAATCAAGTGACATTTGTGCCTTAGGACATATTGAAACAATACGGCATCCAACTTATTTATTATTTATTTATTTTTAAAATGTATAAGCCGCCCCACTCCCGGAGGACTCTGGGCGGCTAACAATAAAAACACATAAAACATAACAAAAGAAACAGTACAAGAACAGTCATCCAGGGGTCAGATTTTATAAACCCCAGGCCTGCCGGAAAAGCCAGGTCTTAAGCAGCTTATGGAAAACCAACAGGGTGGGAGCGGTCCTAATCTCCGGGGGTAGCTGGTTCCAAGACGTGGGCGCCATCACAGAGAAAGCCCTCCTCCGCAGCCCCGCCAAATGGCACTGCTTGGCCGACGGGACCTGAAGGAGGCCCAGCCTGTGGGATCTAACTGGATGAAGGGAACTATGAGCAATCTGCACAGCATTCCTACCAAAAGCTTCATCAGCCGAGGATGTAATATAATTTTAGAGGTAAACAGTGATTTCCTTTTGGGCAGGGGTTTATCAATTGCAGTTTGGTATAAAAAGGCAATTGAGCCATCTGTAAATGGAAGGTAGGGTTCTTCCTACCCATTATTTTCCCATAAGTGAAAAAACAAGAACTCTGGCTTCAGTAATCTGTAGGAGATGACCAGACTGAGGCCCAAGGATGGGTCAACTGCATCATCAGTCTCGAGTCCCTTCGCACCCACAAGAGATCTAGATCCAAGCCCATTTTGAATTCCATTGACTCTTATCTACCATCAATTTGCTATGACTGTTAATAGTTCAGATTGTTCTAGAGAGCATTAGCATACAATAAACCTATATTCATTTTCTGCACCTATCTTGTCTAAATAAAATTAAGTGGAAAGCTTAATGAATCTTTAGTAAAAATGAACTGTGAACTGCCCAGAGTCATTGACTGAGATGGACAGCTTATAGAAGTTGAACAACTAAAAAAATAATAGATAAATAAATAAAAAGGAAGGTTCTTACTGAGAGACTACTTTATTTGAAATAGACTTAGTCAAAATTAAGAGGGTGGCTTTCAATATGTTTTTGAATAACAGAAAACTTATGTCAAAGTCTGTTAATTATTTTTTAACGTTAATGCTGAGAAAACTCATTTTTTTTTTACTTTGAAAGAATTTAGTAAACAAGTATTACCTTTTACATTTGTCTCTTCAATTATAGTAAAGATCCAAAGAGATATTTTAAGATATGCTCAAAGGTTTTGGGGTGTTTGATTAGATTTCTGCTGTTTTATTGGGAAAATGATCACTTTATCTTCATATCTTGAATTATTTTTTTAAAATATCCCATCACCACCTTTAATCAAAGGTAAAATTTGAGCAAGCCTCAATTAATATTCAAGCTATTTATTTACTGTTTACAGATAATGCTGTAATATAGATGCATGGTATAACTTACCATATTCACAAGATTGCTGTAAGTCTGAAATTATTCTAAGAATATTATTCATTAAGTTTGATCTCTGCTCATTTTCCAGAATACTTCCTGTTGATGGATATGCTGAGTCAATATATGTCAAGTCTGAGAGATAAATACCTGAAGAATTAAAGATTTTTTTATCATACAGAGCATTGAAATAAAAGTTACAAGTAGACCTTGTTTACTGACTCCCTCATTTAGTGACTGTTTGAAGTTATAATTGTGAAGGAAACCCCCAGCTTTGTGATCAATCCTTCATTTATGATTATTGCAATATTCTGCAGTCACGTGATCACCATTTGGGAGCTTAGCAAATGGCATACAGTTATGACTATTGCAGTGTCCCAAGGTCATGCCATTTATATGATTTGCAACTGGCTTGTGAGAAGCAGAGTTAAAGGAGAATATGGAATGTTTTACATAACAGCTGTGGTGATTTGCTTAACAGCTGAAGCAGAAGTGAGGCTGTAAGTCCTTGCAGTCATGTGATTTTTTTTTGTTCAGCAACCATGGCATTTAGTAATGGTGTTGCTGATCCCAACTATCTGTAGTTCAAATCAAATAACATCACAGCCTTCCGGTCCTGTTTCAGATAGTATTTGGATTTTAAAGACATGTCATGAATCTGAAACATTCAACTCTGCCCTTACATATAAAAGCTTTATATTTCAATTTGTATCTAAAATTTATTTGCAATTCAACAAAGTATTTAATTAATGCACCAATTATATTTTAAAATTAAACTCCTATGTCTAAGTGATTATCATTTGCTGTTTGTATTCAATTATATAAACTTTGTATTTGTAGTAGTAGCATACAAGATTGACAGGAAAAAGTGAAATAGTAATAATGGTTCTCTTAAAAATATTTTTAGCAAAGATTTTACTATTTGTGTTCCCACACTGTTGATAAAATATGCTACCAGACCAATCCCAGGTGTTGTCTACTAAAGACAATGTCTTATTTAAGCAGAGCATTAAGTTGTTTAAAGTTGTGAATAAGAAATAATTAGGTGTTATTATATTCCCTGTCCCTTAAATATAAAAATGAAACAAAAGCCCCAGGGACCAAAAAGCAAATTGATCTAAAGTCCAAAGAATAAAAAATGACATGAAATGGGCAACTTTACTGAGTCTCTGTCAGAATCCAATTATATTTCATCTTTAATTATCAAATATAGAAACTCCCAATTCTGCCATCTCTGGATTCTGCCATAAGAGGGAGAGAAAGGGGAGAACAAAGGGGCTTTATGGCCCTCACTTCCTTCAGTACACTTCAAAGGGCTGAATGTTGAATGTGTGTTTATTGTAACCTCGAAGTGTTAGCATACCAAAGGAGAGTATTTGCCTTTCATGTAGTTATCTGAAGTCTCCATCCAGACGGAAGAAAGAAGAAAAGGGGTGGAATTGTGATACTTGAAACTATCACTGGAAGGGGGGTTGATTGGGTGGGACTACTGGGGAACCCCTTAAAACCTTGAATGGAAGAGCTTGAACCCCAAGTCCTGTCTAGCATGCCTGCAACCACTTCTCTTAATAAAGGATTCCTGTTGGAAGAATTATTCCAAGAGTTCTGTCTTCTTAAGATGCAAAGTGGGGTGGGTCCTTACATTAGACAGGACTTGCAAAATTAATCCACCTGGAAGGGAGACCCTTGCCGGGGGATTTTGCAAAAATTTACCATGTCAGACAACGAAGCAAGAGAGGGGGAAAACTCCCTGGAAAGAGAGCCGCTGACCCAGTTGGAACCTTGCCAGATGTTGGGATCCGAGAGGCCAGATTCCTCAGGAGAAGAAGTGGTGGAGACACAGGACCACAAGCCTCGCTGGTCGATGGGCGTTGGAAAGAAAAGTGAGTGGGGAAAGGAATCAAGAAAGGTGACCCTGAGACGGGGGACCAAGCAACCAGAATGGAAGCAGGAGATGGAGAAATCCCTGCACGCAAGTGAAGAGGGAGGAAGCTGGGCACCGTACTCAGACTGGATCCTAGAGAAAGCTATTGACCTGATGAAGAGAACTCTCAGCTCCCTAGGAGAGGAGAATACTGAGCCCTACGGCCGCCCCAGTTCCTGGAGCCGCAAAGGGAGAGACACCGAGGGGGACATGGAACCTGCAACCCCAGGGACATCTACTGATCCAGGAGCCCCCACCCCCTACCGGACCACAGATGGCAATCTGGACGGAAGACACTACCACCCACAACGGAGGCACCGATCCATTCCAAGACGTCACCGTTGGAGGTGAAATTCAAAGGGGAGCCAATACGCTTGGGGTTTTTCCTAACCCAAGTCCTCAGCTACATGGAGGAATATGGGCAGGACATTCCCAGCGACAAAGCCCGCATCCGGATCGTGCAATCTGCCCTGGATGGACCAGCTGCGGATTGGGTAGTGAACTTGCATGACTCCAATGCCCCAGAACTCAGTAACTTCAACCGTTTCATGTCCTCTTTGAGAAGACGATTTGAAGACCCCCTGGCTGATCGCAAAGCCCGTGAAAGAATAACAACGATGAGGCAGGGCAAACGCCCAGTGGCCGAGTATACACAAGAATTCCGGGCCATTGCCAGCAAACTGAATTGGCCAGAAGACATCCTCCTTGGCCATTTCAAAGACGAAATGGCCAAGGAGGATGTCTTCTGGCCAATGATCTATATGATGCTTGCCTGCCCCGAGGGGACCCACATCGACTTGAGGAATGGTACGTCTTGGCAGAGGAAGCAGAGATCGACATATTGAAGAGGCACCGCCGAAGAAAACAATGGAGCCGCCCCCCGCCTGAGCTGACACACCAACCGGTGAAATCATCGGATACAGCCAAGAAGCAAATGGGGTGTTTCAAGTGCGGAAGAGAAGGGCATCGAGCTGTAGAATGCCGCTCAAAGGCCCCCCAGCACAACCCAGACAGATCCCCAATCAACAAACCCAGAGGTATTCAGCTAAGCCAAAAGAAACAGCCATGAGAATGATGGAAATTGCAGAAACCCCCACCTCTGCTCACCAAGGGGAAAGAACTCCAGCCTACACCACAGGGACGGTGGATGCCTCAGATGACAGCTCGGAGGGCGAACCCCTGGTAAGTGGATGCATCACACCCATCTTCAAAACAGTGACTATATTAATCCCCCCCATGCCCGAAGCTGTGAAGGTGAAAGCCTTAATAGACTCTGGCTGCACCCGCTGCCTTATTAGCCCAACACTAGTGGGGAATCTGGGCATCCCATCCAGGAGACTGGAACAACCAATCTCATTTGGCCAGCTAGATGGATCCATAGCAGGGGGGATGCCAGCTACCCTAGCCACTCTGCCAATACACCTCTCCCTGGGCAACCATGAAGAGGACTTAACGTTTGTGGTGACCCCAGGTATGGAATGCCCAATGATTCTAGGGATGGAATGGTTGAAAAAATGGAACCCCTGGGTAAATTGGAGGACGACAGAAATCAAATTCCCGAAGGGGGACCCTATGGACTTAAAACCCCAAGGGAGGCTACCAGAATCAAGAATAGAAAAAGCATCCATAGGAGAGGAAAAAAGATTAACAGAAATACCAGAGGAATATAGGGACCTTGCTGAAGTCTTCAGTGAGGAGAGGGCGAATGAGCTTCCCCCCCACCGACCCACAGACTGTACCATTGAATTCAAGCCTGGGGCAAAACTCCCGAAGCCCAGATTATACTCCATGAGCCCAAAGGAGAAGGAGGAAATGGAAAGATTTATAAAAAAAAACCTGGAGAGAGGTTTCATTGAGCCAGCCAAGCCTAAAGTGGCTGCCCCGGTCCTTTTTAGAGAGAAGAAGGATGGCTCTTTACGTTTATGCGTGGATTATAGGGCCCTGAATACAATCAGTGAAAGCAACCTATACCCGCTGCCCCTCATGAAAGACATGCTGTCACACCTATCGAAAGGGAAAATTTTTTCTAAACTAGACCTAAGGGAAGCTTACTATCGCGTGAGAATCAAGGAAGGGGACGAATGGAAGACTGCATTTAACTGCCCCATGGGGTGCTATCAATTCAAAGTCTTGCCATTTGGATTACAAGGGGGCCCTGCAGTCTTTATGCAATTAATCAATGACGTTCTAAGGGAGCACCTATTTAAGGGGGTCCTTGTTTACTTGGACGACATTCTTATCTTTACTGAAACAAAAGAAGAACACGTCAAACTTGTCAGAGCGGTTTTAAAGAAGCTGCGAGCCGCTCACCTATATGCCAAACTCTCAAAATGCGAATTCCACCAGGAAAGGATAGACTACCTAGGCTATCGCATATCCCCACAGGGTATTGAAATGGACCCGGAGAAGGTCAAAGCAGTACTAAATTGGGCACCACCCCGCACAAGAAAGCAACTACAAAGTTTCCTGGGCTTTGCAAATTTTTACCGCCAATTCATCCCCTCATTTGCACAGATAGCCTTGCCCCTCACTAACTTACTAAAAACGAAGGGAACATCCTCAGTAAAACCTAGCCAGCCACTAACATGGACAATGGAGTGCCAAGCAGCGTTTGAGAGACTAAAGAGACTTTTTTCTGCCGAACCAGTACTAAGGCACCCAGACATGGACAAGCCCTTCATAATACAGGCAGATGCAAGTGATGTGGCAGTGGGGGCTGTGCTATTACAAGAAAATGATGATACAGTATTGCAACCCTGTGCATATACATCCAAGAAACTCACGGAAACAGAACAGCGCTGGCCCGTATGGGAGAAGGAGGCTTATGGGATACGTTGGGCATTACTCACGTGGCGACAGTTCCTGGAAGGCAACAAAATCCCCTTCCAGGTGTGGACTGATCACAAAAATTTAGAAGCCCTGAAAACTTCCAGGAAACTCAATCCCAAACAAGCCCGCTGGTCCCAGCATTTTCACCAATTCCAATTTAAGCTCAAACATTTACCAGGAAGAAAGAACTTCCTGGCAGATGCACTATCTCGCATGCCTCAATATAACAGCGCACGAACCACAGACTCTAGACCAATAATGGCAGAGTCACAACTGGCAGCACCAGTAACCACAAGAACCCAAGCCAAAATAAAACCACAACTGGACAGCCAAACTGGGATTGAATTCAGAAAAAGTTTGGAAACAGATGAATGGTTCCAGAAAAACAAACATGTGTGCACAATGAGAGACGGGTTGCCTTGGGTAGGGGAAAAGTTATATATACCAACAACTCAAAGACTAACTTTCATGCACCTTTGCCATGACACAAAATCAGCAGGGCATTTTGGATTTGTAAAAACTTTACACTTAATTAAACGGCAATTTTGGTGGCCATCAATAAAAAAGGACATAGAAAGTTATGTTGCCAGCTGCCCAACCTGTGCATCAGCAAAGAGGTTGCAAGGGAAATCGCCAGGGCTATTACAACCAGTGGCAAGTCCCTCAGCCCCCTGGAGGGAAATAGCCATGGATTTTATAGTGGAATTGCCAGAAAGCAATGGGAATACTGTTATCTGGACAGTCACGGACCTATTTTCCAAACAGGTGCACTTTATCCCTTGCCAAAAAATTCCCACTGCAAAGGCCTTAGCAAAACTTTTCATCCAGCACATTTACAGATTGCACGGGGCACCCCAACGCATCATCTCTGATAGGGGAGTGCAATTTACGTCTGCATTTTGGAAGGAATTTTTATCCCTCTTAGGGACCACTCAGGGATTGACATCTAGCCACCACCCTCAAGGAGATGGACAAGCGGAACGCTGCCAGTCGGTACTTGAGCAATATTTGAGATGTTTTTTAAATTTCCAACAGAGTGATTGGACGGACTTACTTCCTTTTGCAGAAGTTGCCTACAATAATGCAGTCCACTCCAGCACAGGCTACACTCCTTTTCAAATAGCCAACGGTCAAAGTTTCAACCCTATGCCAGAGTTAACCCCAAAAGAACCAACGATCCCTTCACTGAAAGAATGGATGGAAAACCTACAAAACACCTGGCCAATAGTCAGAAAATCACTAGATGAAGCTAGGCGGGCATACAAAGCACAAGCCGATAAAAAAAGGGTTGAGCCTACACCATTCATTATAGGAGAAATGGTGTACTTATCTACAAAATACCTAAAGTCCCTACAGCCCTGTAAAAAACTTGGACCAAAATATATAGGACCTTTTCCAATTAAAAGAATCATAAATCCAGTAACAGTAGAATTGGAATTACCCAAAAACCTCAGGCAAATACACCCAATTTTTCATTGCAGCTTGCTGAAAAGAGAGCATCAGTCACATCTACGGCCAAAAATCCCCCCACCACCACCTCCACTCATGGTGGAGGGTGAACAACACTTCGAAATAAAGGAAGTCCTGGATTCTAGGAGATATCATGGGGCAACTCAGTACCTAGTTGCCTGGAAACACCTCCCTGCCTCACAAAATGAGTGGGTCCATAAACGTCATGTCAGAGCCCCGAAGCTATTGAAGAAGTTTCACACAGAGTATCCTAACAAGCCTGACTAAATTTTATACTTGTGTTTTCTTTCAGGTGGATCTCTCTTATTGTTAAGAGGGGCCGGATGTCAGAATCCAATTATATTTCATCTTTAATTATCAAATATAGAAACTCCCAATTCTGCCATCTCTGGATTCTGCCATAAGAGGGAGAGAAGGGGGAGAACAAAGGGGCTTTATGGCCCTCACTTCCTTCAGTACACTTCAAAGGGCTGAATGTTGAATGTGTGTTTATTGTAACCTCGAAGTGTTAGCATACCAAAGGAGAGTATTTGCCTTTCATGTAGTTATCTGAAGTCTCCATCCAGACGGAAGAAAGAAGAAAAGGGGTGGAATTGTGATACTTGAAACTATCACTGGAAGGGGGGTTGATTGGGTGGGACTACTGGGGAACCCCTTAAAACCTTGAATGGAAGAGCTTGAACCCCAAGTCCTGTCTAGCATGCCTGCAACCACTTCTCTTAATAAAGGATTCCTGTTGGAAGAATTATTCCAAGAGTTCTGTCTTCTTAAGATGCAAAGTGGGGTGGGTCCTTACAGTCTCTTTACTGTCATTTCTGGTCAGTCTAAGAGAAATGAGTTGATGCCTTTCTTTCTCTGTAACCCTTTTAATATTTATTCAATAAAACTTTTGTTTTTGGTATTTCAGTACGAGCTAACTGATTTGAGTTAACTGAATCCTAAATAATCTATTGGCTTCCAGATGGCCACTCAGTGACCACAGAATATGTAATTAGGAAAATACTGGCTGGTATTTGTTTGCCTGATTGTTGGTAACTGGTGTTATTGAATTAGGATGGGAATAATAAAATAAAATAACATCTGTGTTTCTGGCTAAATAAATATTTAAGAAACTGAGTTAGAAACCAATTAATAGATTTTTCACCTACATAAAAAACTGAATTATTTTTTTTCTTGGACCAACCACCAATTCTTTTCTCCTCCCTTCTCCTTTAGTATACCATGTAACTTAAGAGTTTATAGCTTTAATGTCTTACTTTGCCAAAGTTTTTTTTAAAAACTATTGCTGTAACAACTACTTCTCATTAAATAAACTTAAAAAAAAATTTAATATGACATTCAGGTTTGCATTCTTCAGGACAATAATTGAATACAAACACATACATCCACAAATCTATTCCTTTTATTCGTGGAAACAGAAAATTGGGTATGTCAGTATGAAAGAATCTTTCCTCTAAAGTACAGTAAGCTCATTATGGGAACAGCTAAAGACAACTTTCAGCAACCAAGTAACAATGCTTTGCAATTATAATACAGTACCTAAACTCTTTATAGTTTCCTCGTCTGCTGCTTGCTTTCCATTCAACTAACAAACAGTATCTCCTTGTTCATATTGTGATTCCCACTCATTTTCCTCTCCCAATTTCAATTCTATTCCAAAAGCCGTGGATAGGAAATCCTTTGGTCTCTCTTTCTCTTCCCCCCTTCCCTTTCTTCAATTACCTCATACATGGGCTGGCAGTTTTTAGTCGAGGCATGCATTTGTTTAAGAAACACACCCAAGTGTGCTGTGCTGTATATGGAAGCAAGTTCAGCTGTTGCTGGTTAGTGCAGCTCAGAATGCAAATGAAAGGAACAGGCACAGCAGCTAGAAAATCTCTCCATCTTTTCTGTTGCAGAAGGAAATTATTTAGATAGATAGGTCATTCATTAAGCTAAAAGTGGAGGATATGTATTTGGATATAAATATAACAAAATAAAATAACATAGAACTGTGCTAGCCAACTTATTAGCACCGGGAGGAGGAAATATACAGAAAAAGCCTCTGAAGTTTTATTTTATTTCAGAAGAAAGAGTCATCAGAAGGTTAGTATTTATATATATATTTGCTATCAATATGCATGCATTAAGGATGAGATTGCTTTCACTAAATACACATAGTTTAGAATTTATTGTACTCCATTGATTTTTATTATAATCCATTATAGAAAGTCATCAGAATACTATTATTATTAGCTGCATCCTGAGGCAATGTGTGGGGAGAGGACCTTCTCTTACACATTCAATCCTCAAATATAATTAGGAAAAAAATACATTGTTATAAAGCTTCCATGGTGAAACAGTTTTTAATGTTTTTGAACTAGTTTAATGCTTTAAAGTACTTTTTTTCCCTAATAAAGGAAAATAAAACTAGCAAGTCAGTAACTCTCAGATTCCCTCGGGCATATCAATTATTAGCATGAACTGTAATTAAAATCTTCATTTAATTTAGTTCTGTTCATGTGCTAATGTAGCACCCCAAATTTTTGATCAAAATCATTCCATTTGTACTTGGAATAAGCATGTATCCACTGTAGTAGATTTAAATATTTTTAAGATTCAATTATCTATTTGTTGCCATAGGAACTCAAAATTGGTAAATTAGCTTGCAAAAGAAAAAACAACCTAATATAATGTACTAATTATCTTGGCTCAAAGTTATAGCCCATGATTGCTGAATACAATAATTCCTGTTGTACCTAATGAAGAACAATACAAATATTGGAGTTTTCTTTGGCACAAAACTAGTTAACAATTACTTTCTATGTTACATCGATATATATTGCTTATACATGCTTAGTTCTGAAAGCATTTTTGCTCTCTTTCAGAGAGTACCATGTGATGTTAGACTAATATATGCAGTGAACAGTTATTCTCCAGTTCTAATTAAAATAGTTTGTTAAGCAAAAAGCAACAAAGTTCAGGATCTTATTAGAACACTTAGCTGTGAAATTTAGGTTTCTGGAATCTATGGTACTCTTCTGCAACCTGGTGCTCTCTGGATTTTTTAAACTGCACCTTTTGTCAGACCCAGCCAACACAGAAAACAGCCAAATTGGAAGGTGGCAAAATATCAGTGGACACTGTTGAAGACTAATATTCATGTATTGTAGTTACCATTATAGGTAAGAACCAAGGCAATAGTATTTCATTTTAACAATGAATGTATCAAAAATAATTTCAGAGCTTTAACCAGAACTTTATCAGTTTTTAACTGAATAAAATACAGTATTAGATTGTTCCTCTGTACAATAAAAAAGTTTTTAATTATTTTGCTAATTATGCAGTTTTTTAAAAATGACATTTTAATAAATCTGATATAATAGTGGAACAAATATTTTAGCAAATAGTTAATATTGGCTTTTTCAAACTATTAGTATTTAGTTGTAATAGATGTTTACCTGCTCATTATGCTTCAGAGACTTGTTCTGTTAATCTGATAGATAAGACAATGTAAGTATTGTGCCCTTCAGAATGGAAAATAGAAAACTTATATTGGCACTTATGTTCTTACTGCTGAATAACTACCATTTAGTAGGAAATAATTCCATGTATTTCAGTAGATTGTAGAACTAGGTTTTCTGAAAATAAGATATACTTGGTAATGAAGACGTATGATTCTGCATATGTAGATATCTATAGAGTTAGGAGCAAAGTATTCTAGAATGTTGATTTAATAAATGCTATTTTGCCTAAATTACCATATTAACCTGTAAATACCTGTAAAAAGTAATGAAACACCACTACAAATTTTTCATGCTGCAAGAATGGTATTCAGTTAAAAATATAATATTCAAGAGAAAGTAAATGAAGTAGCAAGCTATCTTTAGATTTATTGAAATCCAGGTATACAGTATCTCCTTTTCTGACTGATTTTCAGAAAGTGAAATGCAGAAGATAAAATTAAATCAAAGTTCTGATATTAAAGGAAAATATTTATCATTCAGTGAATCAGGTTTTTAAATATAAAATCAATGACTAAAATAGCAGAATTTGACTAAATGGAATGTATAATAAGTTATTTCAACAGAATTAATGCAATATAAGACATTAATATCACTGGGCACTACTATCATTTCATAGTAATTTTCTAGCTACGGTACACATTTTCAATCTACAATTTATTCAGTTCTGTATTATATGATTGTTTTCAAGATAGTCAAGAAATGCTCCATTTTTAATGATATATAAAAGTAATGAGAAATGTGCAAATGAAATCAAATTGAGTGTTTTCATTCATGTAACATCTTATCCATACCTAAGGTTCTTGTATTTCCAAAGAAAATCAAATAACACATGGTTTATGTGCCCAAAGTTGAAATAGGTACTTTAATATGTCTTTCATATTTTTTCATTATCTCGCCATCCTATTTTTTTCTTAGGATCAACTTAAACAGAACAATTGTACTACTGGTATATTAATACATTTTGAACAAATGCCTTTTTTGCCAACTATGTTACTAAGAATGACTAATTGCTTATTGCTTGTTACAATGACATTTTTAAAAAATAGAAAAAAAGTAAAATCAATCCAATAAAGTAATTAAAGATACAAAATAGTTTTGTTATTCTAATCAAAGAGGTGCTGAAACTAACAAAGCATCTGTTTGTGTTACTAAATACAGAATAATGCATGTATATGTAATTGCTTGTTTTGTTTTGTTTTTACATTATGTGTTTTAATTAAGAGTGTCTCTTAATTAAAGAGGAAAAGGATGGAAACCTGAAAAACTATTAAACAGAAATAAAGGATAGAACCTGAAAAACTATTACACAGAAATTTCCTCACAAACAAAAAAGAATGTCAACATATCTGCAAGCAGTAGATTAAAACATTTTTTTAAAAAATTCTGGAAATTTTTATTCACAAATTGAGCAAATTTGCAGGTTTCTCTCAAGATAAAAGACTGCTTATGGAGGGAAAAATCACTTATGTTTAAGGCCATGTGAAAAAAGAGCACATCTTTCTTGGGAAAAACATACAACATTGTTTTGTCCCATATACCGGATACTATATCCAACAAAAATAGCACTGGTTTGATAGCTTCTACTTGCAGAGATATATGGGTTGAAGCCAATGCTGATTTATGCTAAGTAAAAGGAATAAAATGATTACACAAACAAACATTCTTCTGAGTTCCAATGAGAGCACAGCTTAAATCTGTGGTATATATGGTAGCTGAATCACAGAAATTAATTCAAAATATTTCTTATCTAAAAAACATTATTTTGTATAATTTGTCTGGAAGTTGAATATGAGTTTAAAATGTTTCATGCTCAGAGGTAGATTGGATTTTTAATTTCTCAAAGATGAAAATACTCAAATTAAGCTTGGAACAAAAAGTCCATTCTTAAATGACAGATGATGATTCTTTTTTGTTTTTTGTTTTTACTGATTACTAATCTTCATTCACATCTATGGAGTAACAAACTACATTCATTTCAAAAATTTCACCTTGCTACTACTTTAGAAAATAAGAAAGACACAATGGACTCCAGTAAGATATAGAAACAAATATTTATCAATAATTTGGAATATTATATTAAGGTTCCCTTGCAAACAGATGTATATCATTCTTCTTCATATCCAATTATCTTAATCATACAAAACCTGAAGACTAAGAAGACTATATGCATTAACTCACTGCTTTTAATAGCTGACCTTTTCAATGTACAGAAGAATATGTTTGTATGTTATGCCTATGAATTAAATATTTGGGAAAGCAGACTGCAATAAATATGAACATTTGCTCTGCATTTGCAGAAAAATGTACTTTTATTGCTTTTAGTACATTGCTCCATGCAAAAGTAAACTGTCACAAATAATATTCAGCTGTAATAATATATGTTTCTTATTTAGCCATTTATCCCCCTTTCCCAACAATGCAGCCCAAATGTTTAAACCAGGCTCTTCTAAGTAGAATTATTAATTATAATAAGGAGGAAGCAAAGCAGATCAATCTGGCAAGAAAGTTCAAAGATCATTTTACAGCAACAAAAAAGGTTTTTTCCTCTTTATTTTTACAATTAGCCTCACATGAAATGAGGTTTCATGTGAACCTGAAACAATTGTTTCTGAAACAAATATTAAAAATAAATAAATAAAAACCTACAAACAATAAACTACAGCCATAAGATTTGAATTGGGTCAGTGCAGTTGTTTCAGTTGCCTAATGGTGAGTTTTCATACTTGGTTCCAGGAAGCTGCACTATTGATTATTCAATATGAATAAAAATTTCTATTCTCACATGGAGTACATTACAATACTGTAATTCATTCATTTGTAATGAATCTATGGCACAAATCATTCTGCTAAAGTCTGCTAGAAAGAGAAACACATGAAATTTAGGTAGGCAGAGAGTGGATATTACAGACAAAGGTACAATCAGGGCTTTTTTTTCTCATAGAACGCCCAGAATGGAGTTCCGGCACCTTTTTTGGATAGAACCTTGTAGGGTAGGCAAGGCGGGTTGTATGACGTGTGTGAGTTCCGGCACCTTTTTTTTTTTTTTTTTTAGGAAAAAAAGCACTGGGTACAATCATTGACATTAGTGGGCCATTATCGTGGTTCACAATAATGTAAGGAGAAAGCAACAGCCTAGGACAAAAACAAAGAATTACCTAATTTAAATGAATTCAATGCTCCAGGGCAAGTGAATTATATTGCAAGGTATTAAATCCCAGCAAAACTAATTGCAGAACTGCTAACTGCAAAACAGATAGTCCTCGACTTATGATTGGTAGTTTAATGACTACAGACACAACAGGCATAAAACAACACTGTGTCCTCCCCCTAGGAGGTCAGGATCAGAATCAATGGATTGAAATTGCAGTGGAAGTAGGTATACATTAAATATTAAGAGGCGAGGTATTTTAGAAGTGGCTTGCCATCTCTTCCTTCCTAGGGTGGAGACAAAGTGACTAGCCCACGTCAACCAGGTGGATTTGTGCCTAAGGTGGAACTAGAACTCATGTCCCCTGGTTTCTAGTCTAATGCCTTATATCTATGCTATTTAGTTGTAGTATGATTCCAGTATATAGAATAGAAAAGAGGTGGAAGAGACCTTGGAGGTCTTCTAGTCCAGCCCCCTGCTCAAGCAGGAGAACCTATACCATTTCAGATACATGACTGTCCAGTCTCTTCTTAAAAACCTCCAGTGATGGAATGCCCACGATTTCTGAAGGCAAGCTGGTTAATTGTCCTCACTATTAGGAAGTTTCTCCTTAATTCCAGGTTGCTTCTCTCTTTGGTCAGTTTCCAACCATTGTTTCTTGTCTTGCCCTCTCGTGCTTTGGAGAATAGTTTGACACCCTCTTCTTTGTGGCAGCCCCTCAGATACTGGAACACTGCTATCATGTCGCCCGTTTCTTTTCTTTAGACTAGTCTAGAGGTAGGCAACCTTAGCTACCAAGGTCCCTCTCACAGTTGCTGTTTTTGAGCCAGGTTTCGCCTAATATTTATTTAAATCTTTGATTTTTCCTGCCTAAATGTAAAACTTTGCTTTTTTCCACATTAAAACTCATTTTGTTAGATATGGTCCATTATTCAAGTTTGTCAAGATCTTTTTGGATCTTGAGCTTGTCTTCTGGGGTGTTGGCTATTCCTGCCAATTTAGTGTCATCTGCAAATTTGAGGAGTTCCCCTTCTATTCCCTCATCTAAGTCATTAATGAAGATAGTGAAGAGTACTGGGCCTAAGAGGGAGCCTTGTGGTACCCCACTGCTTACTTCTTTCCATGTGGATGTAGTACCATTGAGGACTACTCACTGAGTACGGTTTGTCAGCCAGCTACATATCCATCTGGTGGTGATGTTGTCAATTTCACCTATTTATAGTTTACCAAGCAGTAGATTGTGGTCTACTTTGTCAAATGCCTTACTGAAATCTAAGTAAACTATGTCTGCAACATTTTGCTGGTCTACTAATTTAGTCACTTTATCAAAGAATGAAATAAGATTGGTTTGGCATGATCTGTTTTTGACAAACCTGTGCTGGCTACCAGTTATAACTTTACTTCTAGTTGTTCGCAGATCTGGTTTTTGATTATCTTTTCCAGGATCTTCCTAGTTATTGATGTTAGACTGATTGGTCTGTAGTTTTCTGAGTATGTTTTATTTCTTTTCTTCAAGATGGGAACCACATCAGCCCTTTTTTAATCTTCAGGTACTTCCCCAATGCTCCAGGATTTTTGAAAGATGTGGTGCAATGGTTCTGAGATAACATCTGCCAGCTCCTTTAGAATTCTGGGATGCAATCTGTCAGGTCCTGGTGATATATATTCATCAAGGTCGGATAAGTGTCTCTTACCATTTTCTTATTTTAATTTTTGTTTCTAGTTTGTCTTTTGTAATAGTTTTTTTGGTATGTTGGGCTTTCTTTTTATATGAAGACTGATGCAAAGAATGAGTCAAGCAGCTCTGCTTTCTGCCTGTTATTTCCTTGCTATCTTCTCTCTTTAGTGGACCTACAGTTTCCTTGACTTTTTTCTTGTTATTAATATGCTGAAAGAAACTTTTTTTTTATTATCCCTCTGAGCCTTTGATTTCTTCACTTCGTCTTTGCATGTCCTGGCTGTCTGCTGATAATCAGCCTTAGTTATGTTTCCCTCTTTCCATTTTTTGTACTTGTCCTTTTTGTCTTTCAGTTTGTCTGAGAGATCTTTGTGCAGCCATGCTGGTTTTTTCTTGACTTTCTTGTTTTTCTTTTTCAGTGGTATTATGCTGGACTGGACTTTTATGATAACATTTTTCAGAGTTTCCCATGCTTCTTGAGTTGTTTTCCCATTTAGGATTTTCATCCATGGAATCTTTCCTAGATTCTCTCTGAGTTTGTTAAAATCAGCTCTTTTGAAGTTTAAGACACTGGTTGAATTATTTTCTATTGATATTCTTTTCCATTGATATAGATACCTGCCTTTCACACACTTTCTTTGCTGTGGTTAGCATTACTGATAATATCAGTACAAGAAAATATACTGTGATTGTGCATGTTGTCTATCCCTTTTACAGTATTGTTAAAGCTTGGGGCACCTAAAGGTATGCATGTATTGTGTAAATGTGCATAATACAGCTGTTCCACAAGAACTGATTCTCTCTTGGACTAAAATAACAAGGGCAACAATAAATACTAATATTTAACTCTCTTATCTTTCCTCATGTAAGAGTGACAGATGAGAGCTCTGGCACTGAAAAAAGACCAATACTATCTATAGCAAAAAGGAAGGATGAAATGGAATGAGAGAGAAAGGAATTAGTTATGGCAAAATGGTTTTTTTCCTTGCTAAAATACTAGTTTTATGCTTCAGTATAGGATAATGCCAGGGGTAGGTGATGAGTATATCCTTACAATGGGAAAACAGTTAAAATACTGAATACTAGGAAGAATTTTACATACAGTGATAGAGATGGAACATTTCACTTAATGCTATTTGAAGGCTATTTCAAAGAAAAGCACTTTCACTGGAAAGCAAATCTCCAGTATATCTTAAAAGGAAGCTAAATTATATCTTGAGTAAGTTCAAATGCAAACAAACAATTTTCATTTGGCATTACTTCCCGTACACAGAAAAAACACTTCTAAGAACATAATCTATTTGCAATGAAATGTTATCATTTGAAATGTTCATCTGAAGTAGGCAAAATAATATTTAATACTGTTTGAAACTATTTCTAGAGTAAAAAAACCACAATCATTGTCAGATAAAAATAATTTGAGGAACTTGAACAATTAAGAATAATTTACAGATTACATGACACAATCTAATCTAATTGCAATATGTTTGAGGTTAATAATTTTAACAATGATAAAAATATAATACAATTTTACAAGGTATTTGGGCATTCGTTTTTTAAAATGCACTGCCCTTTAAATACATAATGTAAAATATAAAGGATCAATTCTGAATTACCTATTGTGTTTGTTCATGCCACTCAGAGTTTTAACACTATAATATAACCTCATGGTAATGAGACATAAGTAGGGGGAAGGGATGGAGGAGGGAGCTTATTTATAACCTTTAATACAGGAACTAAACTTATTGTTTACAAGGTTAAATTCTGTCATTAAATAGTAGTGCAAAATGTAAGATGATAAATCAATACAGAGCTCTTAGTTCAAGTTCTATGTTATCCAGTATTAGTAACCGTATGGATTATATCCTGATACCATATTATAGCACTCAACTTATCCAGCTGCTGTGACTTTAATTGATTTCTAATACTAAGATATTAAATGTTTCTGCTTTCTATTCTTCTGCTAATAATTATAACAGAATATATAGCGAATAGGGGAGAACTAAAGCCTGAAGGACTGACAAAACCCTTAATCTTTCTATCATTTTTGACATGGATTTTTATACTGATGCGGTCTTGGCAATGCCTAAAATTGCTCCATTATATCAGCCCATCCTATATGGACAGGTAGGAAAGGCATGTCCTGGACCTTGTCAGTTAAAGAGTTATGACTGTGACTGGCAAAGTCCTGGAAGAAAGCATTTTTTTTGCCATTGCCCCCGCCTTTTCAAATATTCTCCTCTGAGAGGGAAAGCAGGCCCCCACTGTTCAGGCCTTTCAGAAATATCTAAAGACCTGATTCTGCTGTCTTGCATGGGGCTCACAAAGGAGCATGCAAGTGTGGGGCTGGTTAGCATCCCGAAGGTCTTCCCTTTGCCATTTAATTAACTTTTTAATGTTGAATTTTAATTATCCTTGCTTCTTATTTAATTTTTATACATAGTTTTTGTTTTTAGTATTTTATTTCCACCCCATTCAATGTCCCTCTGCAAAGAAGTTGGACAATTTCTAAATTTGATAATAAATAAAATGTATTTTTCTCCATTTAGTTCACTTGAAAATGAAGACAATCCCGTGGATTTTGAGTTTGTTAGTAATGCTATTATCAAACGGGTATTATACAGTAGAGACTAAACTTAAAAAATCCTTTCCTAAACGAAATCCACGTTCTACAGAAGAGGGTAAGGAAGGGAAAAAGTGTGGCTACACATTTATTGTTCCGGAACAAAAAATAACTGGACCAATTTGTGTCAACACTAAAGGCCCAAGTCCAGGAAACAAAAAAGATGAAATTACTAGGATGGATATTGAGAATTTGAAGGAAGTATTATTCAAGCAAAAGCGAGAGATTGACCTCTTGCAGTTAGTGGTGGATGTGGATGGAAATATAGTGAACGAAGTAAAATTGCTGAGAAAAGAGAGTCGTAACATGAATTCACGTGTTACTCAGCTGTATATGCAGCTCTTGCATGAGATAATTCGCAAACGAGACAATTCACTGGAGCTTTCCCAACTGGAAAACAAAATCCTCAATGTTACAACTGAAATGTTGAAGATGGCATCAAGGTACAGAGAGCTTGAAATAAAGTATGCAGCACTAACTGACCTTGTAAATAATCAATCGGTAATCATCACACTTTTGGAAGAACAATGTCTGCGAATATTCTCACGGCAGGATGCACATGGTTCACCACCACTAGTTCCAGTGGTGCCTCATCACATTCCTAATAGCCCACATTACAACCCTATGCTGCTTGGAAGTAATGAAATTCAGAGAGACCCAGGTTATCCTAGAGAGAGAGATGTAAGGCCACCCCCTGATCCAGCTACTTCGCCTACAAAAAGTCCTTTCAAGATTCCACCATTAACTTTAATAAATGAAGGTAAGCCTTTTCTTTTTAATTTGAAAATTTCTGACAAATATCTTTGAAACCTTTGTATTTTTAGCTAATATGCCAAAACTTTTAAAAGCACCACCTATATGAAAACAACATAAGTAGTATTCTGACTGATGAGTCTGACATTTTTAATAATTTTAAGGGAGACTAGGGAAGGCTCCCGTCTCCTTTATTTCCTTAATCTTGTTTAGCAATTTCAAGCAGTTACTATTTGTGCTGCTCTTAGGCAATATTATTAGCAGATCTGGACTGTAAAAATCTGATGACCAATAGATGGCAGCAAGTTTATATATATCATTTTACTGTCATCTAATGGTTCTCTGGATTTTTACCACAGCAGCCCTATCCCAGTTCAGTATTTAAGAGCAGTTCCACAAAAATAGAAGGGTTATGTTTGATATATTTATGTGTGCAGGGAATGCCCCCTTGTGGTTACAAGTTTTTATAACAATTGAATCTTTATTTTGGTATCAGGCTGACATAAAGTAGTAATATAAAAACTATGAAAACAAATACAACATAAAACATATATCTAATACCTGTAGCTAAGGTCAATGTAATGGTAAAAGCTATTAGACTTGTACAAATCAAACCCTTATACTATACCTTCTAGAAAAAATCGAAGTAGATTTTATTTTATGCAATAAGTTAAAGTAGATTTTTGCTTTGTGCAGTTATTAACCTAGTGAGTAGTGGAAGAATAGGATATTGAGGATATATCTAGAAAAGGTTCTGGAGAGGTGAACAAGCATGGTGGCATCAAATGAATACAAATGTTATGGGAAAGGATTTTCCTATACTGGTTGAATTTTGGAAGTATTGTTGGACCATGCCATGTTATCATGCTTTCAATCTATTTTTTTCTACAATAACAAAAACTAAATTTATGTTAAAGTTTAAAGCCACAGATAGAGTAGTTCTTGATGAAAAAAAACCCTGAAATGGTAGCTTAAATCTTATCTAAGTCCTTTACTGCACTATATACAATTTTGCTGACAATTAAATTATGTGTTTCTTGCCTGTTACTTTCTTTCAAAGTGAATGTTATTTGTCACAGCTAGTCACTTCAATAAGAATTGAAAGAAGAATGAACAACTAACTATTCAAAATAAATAGTAGAAGGCAAAACAAAGAATCAAATGAAAACAAAGAATCAAATGAAATGCTAGATCTAAAAAACAAAGGAACACAACTAGTAGTCATTTAAGTCCATGGTGTTCAGATTTATACAGTATAAATTGTTCAGGCATAACTGCCACTTCTATGGGCATAAACCCTACAGAATTTCACCATTCAGAAATTGGGGAGGGGCGTGATGGTTAAGCAATCATACACAAGAGTCATGTTAATGAAAAGTGCACACAATATAGATGTGCTGTCTGAAAACACAAATCCAGTGATTTTGGAGTGAGTAGAGACATGGAAGGATATACTAGGAGACGGAGAACAGTATAGCAGTTATCAGCAATCTCCCACATGGATCAGAGGCACAATACAAATAAAACTGTCTCTGTTTTTTGCCATCTTCTAACTCTCTATGTGTTACTATACAGAGTATGTTATATAATTCACACATCTTTAGGAATGTTAATTAAAACTTTGTAGAAGTGTTTCTTGACAAGCTGATAAAATTATAAAACAGTAAGAGAAGGGTCTGTCTGATATCTGATATAATTATATTTGTTGCTAGAAGAGAGTTTTTAAAAGTAATGTGATTAGAAAACTGCTCAGGAATGATTCTATAAACACTATAAACAGTTTCTTCTTTTCTATAGCACTTAGAAGTCATAACAAAGCTCTAGAGTACTAACAATTTTGTACAATTCAGTTTAAGATCCTTATAGGGTTATAAGGCATATTCAAGAGGAGGCTTGATAATCCTCTGTTGGGGATGGTTTAAATGGAATTTATGCACTGTATGGGAAGCTGGAATCAATAGCGCATATGAATCTCAACTCTAATATTTAATCTAGATTCCTGGAGTAGATCAAATCCTTTGTCTTAGATTTTTTTTTACATCTGAAGCCAAGAATATTAGTACATACAATGCTATGCAATTACTATCTGTTCCTATATTGAGTTTTCTATTAACTCTATAAAAGAATTTTTGTTTTGCTTTGGTGTGTTTCTTTAACTCTGTTTCTCTAACTCTGTTCCACATTATCATAAACTAAAGAACTTTCAAATTCTTCAAATTCTTCCTCTAAATATTCCCTAATACTTTGTCTCCTGAAGAATGTTATTTTAAAGTTGGAAAAGTTTAAAAGTCTAAGTTGCAGGAGTATGTGCCATTTTTAAAATCTTACATCATTTGTGTAATGTTTCAACCCTGCACTCTGGATGCTAAAAGTAAAGGGAGAAGTAAATTATCCTTTAACTTTTTTTTTTTTTTTTTTAAGTTTGTGAGTAGATCTGCCCCTACTCTCAATTCCTCTGAAGAAAGGTTTTCCATCGTACAGGAGACTAAATAGAATGATCTTCAAGTAATTTTTATGAACTGTACATTCCAATTTATTTTTCTATAACTATCCTACTCTTATACATCTAAATCAGTTTATTCCATCAACTATTTGTATTGTATATTTTATTTTGTTCAAAATATTCTGTATATTAGGGGCAGTAGTGCGGACTAAGGCTGGTGTTTCAAATGTATTGTTTGTAACAATTGGAGCACTATATAAGTCCAATATATAAATAGATAATTTTAACTGACATATTAACAAACTACACATTTTGAAAAATCATAATTATGTCACAACTCTTCAAATAATTAGTGTCATAATATTAAGTGCTCTAAAATATACATCACACATTCCATCCATACTCTCAACAAAAGAATGGTTTTACTGTTTTCAAGTTGATTCACCCACAACATTAATTTAACATGTTCACAAGGACCAAACAAGAACTGATGTGTATTGCATACAATTCCCTAATACCCCAATACCTGCCAATTTTTGACAACTGTCATACATGCCAAGTCCAAAATGGCCCATGAAATCAAACTTTCCATTTATTCATACAAAATACAATTAAATTCCTAACCATTGGTACCGCCTGCCCATTCCCCCCAGGCCGCATCCACCCACCCTCTCTAATCCTTCCCCACACCCCTCCTCTTTCTCTCCTTTAGTTATTGAAATCAAACTTTCAATAACTAAAACTTTCATTTGTTCATATAAGAAATAGACTTTATGGCAGGGATTCTTAAGTTGTCAGTTATGATCTCCCAAAATATCTTTTCTTTTTAAGCCTATCACTGTGCATGCTTTCAAAAGTAACTTGTTTTGATTGGGCGAGTTTACTAAGCCTCACCACACAGAGCAAAACTTGGAATAAGTTTTGAGAAATAAGTAAATCCAGAAGTATAAACAGTGCATGCAGCAAGTATTCAGACCCCTCCACTTTTGTCACTTTTGTTGTGCTGCAGCTTGATTTTACAGTTGTTAAAATTCATTTTTTTCTCATTAATCTACACTCAGTACTCCATGATGACAAAGTGAAAACAGAAGTTTAGAAATGACTGTAAATTTATTAAAAAGAACAAAAAACTGAAATATCACATTGGCATTAAGTATCCAGACCCTTCACTCAGTACTTTGTTGAAGCACCTTTGGCAGCAATTGCAGTCTTTTTGGGTATGATGTGACAAGCTTTGCACTCCTGGATTGGGGGATTTTCTGCCATTCTTCCTTTGAGTGCTTATGTTTGAGCACCTATGGAGCTCTTTAAAACGCTCTGTTTCGCTCTTTTTCAAAGCGCTCCATAAGCCAGGAGTCTCCAACCTTTCTGGCTTGGCAGCCTGGAGGGAGAGAAAGGGGCAGGCACCTTACACACGCATGAGCAAATGTGAATGTGGCCATATGTGCACACAAACAGACCATGAGCATATGCACCATGCAAACAGGGATGTGAGCATGTGTGTGAGGCTGTCAGCTATGGTGAGGCTTGCGGCTCGTGGACATGCTACCACTGGTGTGAGGATCATGCCACGGCTTGCAGTGATTCCGCCACCCGGCGCGAGGCTTGCACTGCCGCTCCGGTGCGAAACTTGCACTGCAGCCCACCTTCTACTTGCTGCCGCCACCCATGCAAGTTTGTGGCAATGCCTCCGCCTGCGTGTGGTGCGCCACTGCCAACCTGCTGCTCGCAGTGCTGCCACTGTCCACGCAAAGTTCATGGCAATACCGCCACCAGTGCGATACTAGTGGCGCTGCTGCTGCCTATGCAATATTCACGGCAACGGTGGCATGAGGGGGGTGAGCACCTGCACATGTGCACTGCCCAGCTACTCAGCCCAGCTGCGGCCCATAGGTTGGGGACCTCTGCCACAGATGCTCAAATACTTTACCCGGACAGAGACCTTGGGGAAGCTGCAAGCTCCGTCTGGCTGCAAATGGGGCATTTTGAAATGGAACATTTCAAAGTGCCCCTTTACCAGCCAAAGGGAGCTTCCAGCCTCCCCAAGGGCTCCATCTGGATAAAAGGTGTTCTGGCAGTGGCGGAAAGGAGTTGGGGGAGGGAGCAGGAGACAAGCATCCCAAACACTTTTCATCCTGAAAGTCAGCGTTTCTGGGGTCCGTGATCTTGCAAAAGTTCAGGCACCCGTTCTCTGCAAAAGAGGATTGGTGCCTGAACTCGCACGTTATTACAGCACCCAGGAGTTTCCGTTGACTCCCCTGTCCCTCAAAGCAGCAGTGAGGAGAAATGGCAGCAGAGAGGATTTTTGCAAGGGAAGTGAATCCGGCACTGCAGAATGGGAGGAGGAAGCAGTTGTGGGGAGCAAGGGGAGGACTAAGGTGAATGTTGCAGAGCCTCTGCAGTCATTCATAAGAGTGAACAACTGCTGTGATGCTGCAACATTCGGAATTCTGGGAGTTGCTCATAAACACTTGGGGGCGCTTACTGTGTAACTTTGAACAAGTGCTAAGTGAACACTCGTAACTCAGTAATTACCTGTAAATTTACAGGCATTTCTAAACTTCTGTTTATGGAGTACTGAGTGTAGATTAATGAGAAAAAAATGAATTTCAAGAACTGTAGAATCAGGCTGCAGCATAACAAAAGTGAAGGGAGTCTGAATACTTTCTGAATGCACTGTATCTGAAATAAAAAATGAGCAGAATCCCTCCCATCTGTCTGAAACAGATGCACAATCCTAATGTAAAGCAGTTATTTTGAGATATCCAAGGTAATAAATAATGATTTAATCTTGAATATATATTTATTATTTACAATAATAAATGTAGTAGAATGAGTATAATACAGATATAATTATATTAATTTATTAAGCTTGAAACATTGTATGTAAATTGATCATTTTAAAAACACATTTAATTAATTTAATTTAATTAATATAGTTATTTCACCTAAATTCTTCTGAATGACTATATCTTAGTAGCAATGTCAATATTAGTAATGCTCAAGAAGTTTGAAAATGCTAATTATAAAAGTTATCAAGGAACAGTGTGAAAAAAGGAAACAATGTCTATTACTAAAGAAAACATAATGGTATTTAATAATGTCTTTTTTATACATATCAGTATACTAATACAAAACAATGAATATTTTTTAAATGCTAATTTTTTTTTCAAAAGGCCCATTCAAAGACTGTCATCAGGCCAAACAAACTGGCTATTCTAGCAGTGGGATTTATATGATCAAGACCGAAAACAGTCATGGACCAGTGCAGTTATGGTGTGACAACAGCCTTGATCCTGGAGGCTGGACAGTTATTCAAAAAAGAACAGATGGTTCTGTGAACTTCTTCACAAACTGGGACAATTATAAGGTAATCATAAAAAAATATCCAGGGGGCAATTTACAATGCACTGTTACTATAAACTTTCCTCATTCTGTTACCTTCTCCATTTGCTGGATTACAACTTTCCTGTCAATGACCACAATTCGTGAAATTCCAATATAGTTGCAAAGCACCAGGAACTAGAAACTAGCATATATGTAAAAAAAAAAAAAAATGTTACCGATTTTGAAGAATGAGATTAATTTAAGTGAATGGCAGAAAGGCCTTAATAAATTTATTTGGGCAGGGAAAAAGCCAAGGGTTAAGTTTAAAATTATGCAAGACTTCCGCAAGAGGGGTGGGCTCAAGGTACCGAATTTGAAACTATATTATGATGCGGTGGTTTTAACACTAATCAGTGATTGGGTAAATTTGACAAATCCTGAGATACTTTATCTCGAGGGATGGGATTTACTTTTTGGGTGGCATGCCTATTTAATATTTAACAAAAAGATGGATTGGGTTTTTAAATCTCATATTTTAAGAATTTCTTTACTTAGGACTTGGAGAAAATATTATAAAAGTGATTTTAAAGTACCATTATGGGCTATACCTTGGCATGCGATAGAAGGAATAAAAAGAGGTGCTAAAATGGACATGGTGTCTTATAGACATTTACTTAGGTGGGATGGACAAAACTGGCAGTTAAAATCACGGGAAGAGTTAGCACAAGAAAATATTATTTACTCTTGGTTCCAATATAGGCAATTAGCAGATAGATGGAAGGTGGATTGCAAGGTGGGCCTTCTTAGAGAAGATGAAAACTTTATTAAGCAAGTGAAGGATCAAAGACAAGCCCACATTAAGAGAATTTATGGGGTTCTAGTTGAATTGGACTCAGAAACGGAACTAATTAAAGATTGTATGATTAGATGGGCGCAGAATTTTGGTGAGCCAGTTCCATTGGACACCTGGGAAACTATTTGGGTGAGAAATGTCAAATTTACACAAGCACAGAATTTAAGGGAGAATTTCTATAAAATGTTTTATAGATGGCACCTTGATCCACAAAAAATGTCTTTTATGTACCCTGACCTACAACCCAAATGTTGGAGATGTGGGTGTATGGATGCTACTTATTATCATATTTGGTGGTCGTGTAGAGAGATAAAAGCATTTTGGATTAAGATATGGTGGAATATCCAGAGAATTTTTAAAAGGAGGGTAAAATTTACTCCGCAATTATTTTTGTTGGGTGTAGTTATTGATTGTGATACAAAGGAGGTTATATTGATGTTAAATTTGATTACAGCCGCGAGGCTGTTAGTTGGACAATATTGGAAGAAGGAATCTTTGCCTACATTGCAGGAATGGTTTCTTAAAGTGTCTTATTTGGCGGAAATGGCAAAGATTTCGGCTTTCTTAAAGCAACAAACGCAAGAGAAATTTCTTGCTGTTTGGGATAAATGGATAAAATTTATACAGTTTAAAATGGATATTAAAAAATATTATATAGCTTTTTCTTAATTTTTATTTTTATATATATACATATATATTTTAAAATATAATTTTTCTGATTGTTTTTTAATTAAGCCTATATTCTGCTCTGGGAAGCTCGGGGGGGGGAGAAGGGGGGGTGTTTGGGGGAGGTTGGGGAAGGGAGGGTTTGTTGTGTAATGTTTAGTTTTTTCTTTGTTTATGTTTTTTGTCTTTGTATTGTTTTGTTTTTTTCCCTTTTTTTTGTAAAATTTATAAAACTTTTAATAAAAAAAAATATAGCCCTTCATAGAAAAAAAAAAGAAGAAAAAAAAAGAAAAAAAAAGAAAAAAAAATCTACAAAGCATTATTTAAAGGTACGCCCACATAGGATATTTTTTTGTTTGGGTTCAGCATCTGCATGAAAAGCATCAAAGATGTGGTGCTTCATATAACGTACAAATCACTACTGTATAATCTATTCTTACTTCACCTTCCTGCTAGCTTTATGAAAATCAGTACTGTGATTTTTTGAGTAGTGTCCTACCTTATGGTTTTGTTAAGGACAATTATTGTAAATTTCATAAAATAAAGAGTTGGATTTATTTCAGATCACAATCTTGAACAGAATGATCTGGGAAAATATGCACAGGATTATGTTGTTAACTGGGCATAAGAGTTTTAAATTATCATTAACAAATTGTGCTTTTATTTCACAACTCTTCTTTGTCTACAAGTAATTGTTTAAATGACATTGTGAAAAAGTTGCAATGAGGTGTTGCCCCTTCTCCCTAGAATGGCAAAAATATTCTTCTAAGAAGGACTTTGTCAAAAAATAATGTACAAAATGTTTATACACGTCAGTCATGGGAGAACCAGGGGCAAGTTATGTAGATGCTACAACGAGATAAACAATTTATTTGAAGCATAGCATGCTAAGAGATGCCCTTAGGAAGTGGACTGGCTGCAAGGAAAAAAGTTCAAAGCAAAAACACTGATTGGATCATCTTTCATATTCAAATTTATTTTCATTAATTAATAATTTTATCACTATAAACTTATTTCCCATTCATAAATCCAACACAATGAATTTCCTTCATGCATGACTTCCCAAAACTTAATTACAAAAATTATGTATTCTGTTTAATATAAAGAATTTCCCACTCATTACCTGATTTTAATTTATTTTAATCTATTTATTAAAATGATTTTAATCAAATCATTTTTTCATGACTGATATAATACAAATATTTTTACTAGTACAGTACTAATTCCAACAATACTAAGAATTCTCCCTCAACCAGTATGGACAGGCTATAGTTTCTCACTACCAGTGGTTACTCAGTAAATGCATAACAGTGAATCAGCTTGCTTTTAGATCTTAGGGTATCTGTTAGTAAATTGGGAGCAAGCTGCTTCATTGCCAGAATCCAGTGGCAAACAAAATTCTAGAAACCACACTTAAGTCTCATACTTGCATGTAATCTGAATCAAATGATGGAGGGAAGATGATAATGTATCTATCTGTGAACATTCTACAAATCAGTATTTATGGTCAAAGATGAATTAATTATTGGATTTTTTCCAATACTTTCAGAACATCAAAGGTATATCCATAATACATTGATTATATATGAAAACCTTCTATGTGAGAAATGGAAGACAATTTAATCAACATTCTGCTTTGTTTACAGAAAGGGTTTGGAAATGTTGCTGGAGAATACTGGCTGGGACTGGAAAACATTTACTTGCTCTCCAATCAGGATGATTACAGACTTCTGATTGAATTAGAAGACTGGAGTAATAAGAAAGTCTATGCAGAATACAGCAGTTTTCGACTGGAGCCAGAGAGTGAATATTATCGACTACGTTTAGGCACTTATCAAGGGAATGCTGGTGATTCCATGATATGGCACAATGGGAAACAGTTTACAACATTGGACAGAGACAGAGATATGCACACAGGTAAGAATTAGTACTATTTAGATCTATGTACTTCTTATTCTGGCTGAGCTGAGAAAATAATTTGATAAAACATTAGGAAGATAGAGGATTCTGCAAAATAGTACTGTTTAACATAAAAACATCTTCAATTAGAATGATCCATAGACATGTACAAGTGTTGTATACTTTTGGCAATGACAAAACCATATGCTTAAAGTTAGGATTTACATTGAACAAGGTAAATATTGGGTGGAAAGGCTTTTTTCTCATAGGAAAGTATCTGTTCTATGTGAAAAAGGCAAAAGATTTAGAATGATCTGTAGAGAAACTAGAGTATTGGATCTTAAAAAAAAATCTGGGTAGGTTGTGTGATTTCTACTTAATGTTATTTCTTTCAGACAAAGATTCAAAAGTATCTTCCAAATCACAATTTATTCTATTATTTTCTATTTTTATCTAATATTTGTTCTCTAAAAAGAGGACAAAATAGCTTATAGAGACTGATAGAACAAATACGTGTATTTCTTTAGGATCATTCCTTTCTTTTCTCAAAATATAATTACCAGATATAATATAAATTCCTCCCTATTCAAAAATTACAATAAGCTTCCATAAAATAAATAGAACGTAGGAATCATTATCCCTTAGTACCTATATAATGCATTGGAAAATTCTATTTCAGCACATTCACTAGCTCCTTAGTTCCATTCCATTTCTTGTTTGTGCTATCTCACTAAGCTATTTGGATTTTTTTCTCTTGCTACTTCTTTTCATTTTAATGGCTCATTCTCCTTCCCTCTATGCTAAATACTATCAGGAGAATGATATAGGAGACAAATATTTGGAGAGGGAATTACTTGAAGGTTTGTTGTAATTGTTTTCCTCATTAAGATAGAAATTTCATCAGAACCAACAGGTCTTCATTAAAATGAGGATTTTAGAAGTACAGTTGGATGATTCAATAATACCATCCTTCTCTAAAATAGTAACAATAGTGTCCATCTGTTCACAGGCTGACTTGTACTAAGTAAATTACAATGAATATGTTTTGTGATGTGATTGATGTGAAATGTATCTCAATGTTTTGCTTCTCTCTGCAGGAAATTGTGCTCACTTTCATAAAGGAGGTTGGTGGTACAATGCTTGTGCTCATTCTAATCTCAATGGAGTATGGTATAGAGGAGGACACTACAGAAGCAAACACCAGGATGGGATTTTTTGGGCCGAATACAGAGGAGGTTCATATTCATTGAAAGCAGTTCAGATGATGATTAGACCTATTGATTGAGACTACCAAAACGTTTTTAAAAAAATTAATACCAGAGTTTGAAGCAGATGTCATTTTTCAAGATCTTCTTTGGAGAACTCTACCAAGTATTCTTTTAAATCCTCGCTATATTATATATGTTAATTTTTATACATTTTAATTATAGAGCAAAACTGAAGGCTGCATTTAAAATAATTCTCTGTTCATATAAGATATGAATATTAACTGCAGCTATTAAACTTACCAGTTTTTCAAGATCAGGAGGAAAAATTAATAGATATAAAATAACAGAATTTTAAAGTTCAAGTATGAAACATTTTTTTAATGTGTTAAACAGTCAAATCAATTCATTCTCATATGATTAAAACTATTTCAGTTTTTATTTCAGAGACCTGAATATTAGGGAAAAAAATTCTTTAGAGATCCTTATACACAATGAGACAAAAGAATTGGAGAGAAACTCTAGTTTTGCAAATGTATTTTGCATCAAATAAAGTACTATCATTTCATTATTGCAACAGTTACTAGATAGCTCTCGAGTTACAATGGCAATTGGTTCAGGAATTTCCATCACTAAGCGATGTGATAATAAAATATGATGTCATATGACATTGTTTAGAATGGCAATTCCTGCAGTTCCTGCTGCCATCATTAAGTGAGGATCATGGGTCCTTAAGCGAGAGCTCCTTGTAACTTCCTGCTGGCTTACAACAACCAAAGTTAGTGGGATGTGCTATTAGCTACAATTCAGTGTCTGACTTTGAATCTGATGATGTTGCTCCAGCTTCAGAACTGTCAGACTCAGGAATCAGTAAGTAAGAATTCAATTATGGCCTCTCAGTCACAGGTATCTCCTATTCCCAAGTCCCAGATCTAGGCTCAAACAGAAGTGAGCAAAGCAACATTCCTCTACATGGCTTCTAATAAAATAAAGGGCAAAGCAAGAGTAACTACAGTCAGTGGGTTGCAGACACATTTGATTAGTTCCTGAGCGTTCAAGCCCTTGTTGGAAACAACCATTTGGCTATCCAGCTCTTGAATCATGAGTCTGCTTCTTGCTTGTGACTCTTGACCTTTGGACTGGCTGACTGCCCAATTTGGCATCCTGGATATTTTGGAACATCTCTGGACTATGCTGTTGTTTCTTTGACTGTATCTGGCTCCCTTCAGGCAAGCATTCTTTACTGGGCATTTGAATTTCATTCCTGTCTGCTCTTATCTGCCTAAACTGCAGTAAAAATTCCTGCTTCTACAGTACTTTGCTTTTGTCTGTGTGTCAGCATCTTAAAAAAGAACAGGAAGCTGACCGGAAGTTGCAAGCTCCAGGCAGCTTGCAAGCAGATAGGTGGTAAGAAACTGCTGCTGGATGGAAGGAGGTGTGTGAGTGGTGAGAGAGGCATGGTGCAAGTGTGGGGAGACTTGGGATGGCTGCTGCTGGGTGGAAGAGAGTGCATGAATGGGATCCACAGCAAGAGTGGGACACGGCTTAGGGTAGCTGTTGCTGCAAGGGAGAAGGATGTGTAAGTGTTAGGGACACACCATGTGAGTGCTAAGGGTCCCAGGGATGGTGTGAGAGAGTGCAAGTAGCTGGTGAGGTGCAAATCCACAGAGGCTGGGAGACAGTGCATCAGTGAGGCTTACCCAAAAGTTGTAACTTTCTCTGCCAACTTCCCTATTGACTTAACTTGTGGGAAGCAGGCAGGGAAGGTTGCAAATCAAGTTCATGTAACCGCAGGGTGCTGCAACTTAACCTTGTTAAGAGCCAACTGGATCCCCTAAATTACGATCCCATGATCAGTGAGATGCTGGGATGTCCAGAAATTCAAGGACTGGTTGTAACCATCATTTGTTTAGTGCTATAATAACTTTGAATAGTCGCTAAACAAGTGGTCATTAATTGTGGACTACCTGTATTTTACAGCACAATTTTCTTAGGACATGGGAATCCTACTTACTCTGGATCAGAAATCACATATTATTTTGAAAGTCAAATCCAAAATTAGTAGCATTGCTACAACACTGTACATTAGACTAATGTTATTAATCCTATATTACAAACTGGAGTTAAGACTTAAGAAACAAAGTTGTGTACTTATTAAAGAATGAACTGTTTCAGGAGTTACAAACAACTTAATTTATGCTTTTAATAAAGTTCAGTGTACTAGACATGTTCTGTGAAATAAATTGATTTCAACAGTATTTAATGACTGAGTAATGTATTTAAAATATGTTAGAGTTAGAATTAAAGTATATACAGATATCATCTATTAGTTTAAAAATATTCAGAATATTTCAGTACTATGTTCCAGGAGATGGGGGAATACCTGTAAAATAGTATTTCCAATCTCCTAAAGCTTCTATTTAATTCAGCACATCACACAGCCATGACTATATGCTATCTCTTACTGCAAAATATAGTTTTTGTAAAAAAATAAATGACTCAACCCTCCCAAATATTAAATACCATTTATAATGCTAAGATTGATTATATATCTTTTATATTCATTTCAGTGTATAGATAGTTTTCCCACAACCACAACTGGAACCAGAATTCTGGTCATAAGTTGTTGTGGTTGGTAAGTTGAGACACGATGTGACCAGACTCAATTTTACAACTGTTTAATGATAGTTGTAAGTTACAGCAGTTATAAACTGAATCATATATTGCTAAGCAAATCCATTCTTCCAAATGGGCATTTTTTGCCAGGAAGTGCAAAAAAAAGTTGTAAGTTGTGGTCATGTAACTGCAGGACACTGCAACTAATCATAAATGCAAGCTAGTTGCCAAGTGCTCAGAGTGTGGAGGAGGGGGGCAGCAGTCATAAGTTTGAGGATGGGTTGAAAGCAGCTTTTAAAAAAGTTCATTGATCAAATGATGGTTGAACAGCTGGTTGTAAGTCGAGGATTACCTTTATAGAAACTTCCACTGCACAGCTACTTCCTGACGCTCTGATTATTATTTAATAATATACTAACCAGTGTTTCATGGTGGCTTTCAATACAATAAAAACACAAACAAAAAAACAACTAAATTTGACTAGAGTTAAATAGTAGCAACTGTGAGAGAGATCTCTGAGTCCTAGTAGACAATCACTTAAATATGAGCCAGCAGTGTGCTGCAGCTGCCAAAAAAGCCAACACAGTGCTAGGCTGCATTAACAGAGGGATAGAATCAAGATCGTGTGAAGTATTAATATCACTTTACAATGCCTTGGTAAGGCCATACTTGGAATACTGCATCCAGTTTTGGTCACCACGATGTAAAAAAGATGTTGAGACTCTAGAAGGAGTACAGAGAAGAGCAACAAAGATGATTAGGGGACTGGAAGCTAAAACATATAAACGGAACGGTTGCTGGAATTGGCTAGTTTAATGAAGAGAAGGACGAGGGGGGACATGATAGCAGTGTTCCAATATCTCAGGGGCTGCCACAAAGAAGAGGGAATCAAGCTATTTTCCAAAGCACCTGAAGGCAGGACAAGAAGCAATGGATGGAAACTAACCAAAGAGAGAAGCAACCTAGAACTAAGGAGAAACTTCCTGACAGTTAGAACAATTAACCAGTGGAACAACCTGCCTCCAGAAGCGGTGAATGCTCCAACACTGGAAGTTTGTAAGAAGAAACTGGACAACCATTTGTCCAAAATGGTATAGGGTTACCTTCCTGAGCAGGGGGTTGGACTTGATGACTTCCAAGGTCCCTTCCAACTTGATGATGATGATGATGATGATTATGTACAACTTTGAATACTTTGCAACTTTGGGAATAAATGGCAAAAGGGTAATCAGGCTAGATATAGATGTTATTTCTAATAACCCTTAGTAGACTTTTGTTGATCAGAACTGAACGATGAAGTTTTAAGAATTTGTCTATGTTAAGTGAACAATTAATCAGTGGAACAACCTGCCTCCAGAAGCTGCGAATGCTCCAACACTGGAAGTTTTTAAGAAGACTGGACAGCCATTTGACTGAAATGGTATAGGGTTTCCTGCCTGAGTAGGGGTTGAATTAGATGACCTCCAAGGTCTGTTCCAATGTTGTTGTTATTATCATTATTATAAATAACAAGTAGAAACCAAGATTAGACAAGGAGGTGATATTTCGGTATTAGTCAATGGTCCGCCAACCATATCCAGTATAGAGCATCCCATTGGACTCATTAAAGAATGAACTGTTTCAGGAGTTACAAACTACTTAATTTATGTTTTTAATAAAGCTCAGTGTACTGGACATATCTATATCCATAGGGCATAAATATAGCATGAGTTTTTTTTCTAAATTAAATGTAGGGATAGGGAGTGAAGATAGCAGTTATATAAGAATGGGTTAATCTTTTTTGGACAATCATTTTGTTTTTGTGATTGATCAGCAGAATGAAACAAAAGAATCACAATGGATAAAATAAACTATAAAATAAATAGTACAAGTAAAACTGTAAAAATAGTATAGTACAAGTAAAATTGTAATCCTTCTCTGTCCATTTATGGTGCTTTGAAAAACTCACTTATACAAGTAGTAAGCTTAGAAAGAACTAAAAGTATGCAAGTTGCTTCATTCTGAATGGATTCAAATACAAATTTCATGAAATGTTTCATTTTTGAGTTTTAAATATGTTCTTAAAAGCATTTTGGAAACATTTTAACCTTAAACTTGAAATACCTAATACTCAAAACAATCAATTTTACATTCAATGTGTGACTTTTCATGAAGTTTCTGCTTAAAATAAGAAAACCTTGTTAAAGATAATAGAAAAATATTTCTAAGTTTAACATGGGAAATTTTCAGGTAATGCACTTCTTTGTCCAAGTTGTGTCATTCTCCAAATTATACCCATACAACAATTCAGTTTCTAAAACTATCTTTCACTAATATCAATAGATTTTTTTCACATCATTTGCTTTAACCTAAATGCAATCAATATAAGTCCCATTCTTGCTCACCCACTATCCAGACAAAGAGGGAGATGTAAGGCTGTGGAGAAATGAAGAAAGGGCAGAGAAAACAAAAAGTGTATTACACTCCTAAAACCTCCTAGGCCAGTGGTTTCTTTCTACTTAATTTAAGGCAAATGGGTTTCAATCTTTTTTCTTGGTTACAAGATACATAAAAATAAATGTAGACTACCGCAAGCCTATTCAAACTATTAAATTATAGTGTGTACTGAATATATATACAGATAGACCTCAACTTATGGTTGTAATTGAGCTCAGAATTACAGTCATAAGTTGTGATGGTGATTAAGTGGGCCACCACATGATGACGCCTGATTTTACAACTTTTTTTGTGGCGGCCATTAAGCGAATGTTGCGGTCATTAAACTAACATCAGAGTTGTTAGCTGAACATGGTGGTTAAACTAATTCATTTTATCCAATGGCAGTTTTTGCTGGAAACTGAAAAAAAACCCACTGAAAATTAACAAAAATAGTCAAAAAAATGCAATCTCAAATGGTTACAGATAGCCATAAATGTAAGCACTGGTTGCCAAGTGCTGAAATGTGAAGACATGAACATGAAGACCGATGTAACCATAAGTAGATTTTTGGGGATCCATTTGGAAAGGCAGAATTTGATTTTTTCCAAATACTGAACCTATACATTCCCTCAATTATTTCATATGATTAGGTTATACCTTATTATTATTATTAGCCTATGGCATTGTTACATTAGCCAGGAGACCACAGTATATTTTGGCTTCCAAAGTACCAGCTCTATTCTAGGAAATGCGTGCTTCCTGTGGCGCGTCACATAAGGGTGAGCTAGCTTCGCATCAGAAAAAAAGACAAGCAGCTCTTTCTGCAGAGTCATTCAAGGCCCCCTCCCTCCCTGGCACCATCTTGCAAACAGGCACCACAACTGGGAAGGTTCAGAGGGCAGGAATGTGACTGCCTGCACCAGCTCTTCCCCCACCCCATCGAACTGGTACCTATTTTATCTACTCGCATAGAACATGTTTTCAAACTGTTAGGGGGACAAAAGCTGAAGCAAATGAAGGGAGCTTACCCTGATACACAATGCTAGAATTTGAATTGCTGGAGCAGAAACCTTCTCCAGGGTCATAAAGCCACTGAACCACCACGCCTCTATTAGGTTAGATCATTGCCAATATATGAATTAGGTGTTTTTACAGTTACACATTTTAAAGTTTTCATGTTAATTGCATAAATGTGCACGCACGTTTCACATGATTACCTTTCTCTTTCATAGCAGTACAGCAGATAGCAAGGCATTCAAATTTCTCATCTTGGAGTTAAATGGTTTTCAGTTCACTGAAAGTATAACAATGTATCTTTGCTATGTTTTTTTTACCATGGATGTTTTTAAATTTTATTTCTCACTGCCTAAGAAGCAGGAAACTGTTTCAAACAGCCAGATGTATGATGATATTCCTTTTTCATTATTTTGACAACAGTTTAATGATTTAAAAACAACTAGCATATAAATGGCTAGTTTATATCTATCTCTTAGACAGGAATTCTGTTGAAAACAGGAAAACTTGAATTCTTTAAAATCCCTTTTTTGGAATCTATTGAAAAAAATTTGCAGATCATGTTTAGAGTAAACTATCCATAGATTGAATAAAGCAATGTATCTACTTGAATGAAGCAACTGAGGTAAATATGTGATTGAATGGTCTTTATACAATACCATAATAAATCTATAAATTAATTACTATATTATATGTAATTACCTAAAATCATTTTAAAAATCTGTACAAATCCAGTTTTTCATTACAGTTTTGGAAACTGTTTTACTATAAAAGGCACAAGAAGAACTACGAAAGTCACAAGTATTACTATGTTACACAAGAATAATATAGTAATACTTTTCTACCTTTATCTTTGTGTTTGCCAAATCCATTTATTTGTTCATCAATAGTGCAAATATGTGCTCAGCACTGTAGAAATACATTGCCACATTGAAGTGTGGCTTCAATGGGAACCCAATCTGTTTCAAGTTGAAAATATTTTGAGGTTGAAACATTGTGTACATCCCAAGTACATTTTGCATTTTCCATATTTACTGAAAGATTTTTCAAGATGTGCCAATGTATTCCTCGACTTCTAGTGCCCTGCTAAAGTCCAACTGCAGCAAAACAAACTTCTCAAGGCCAGACATCAATAAATGTCATGGATATGGGCTATTACTGTGTTTCCCTGAAAATAAGACCCGGTCTTTTTTTTTTGCCTCCAAAAGAGGCACCAGGTCTTATTTTCAGGGAGTGACTTTTCCATTCACCTCCAGCACCGACAGCCCTGCCCAGCCAACCCACTTCTTCTGCAGTGTCCCACAGCCTGCATTTCGCAGTCAGAGGTGCAGCTGAGAACTGAGCTATGGATTGAATCCATAGCTCAGTTCTTGGTTGCAGAGGCCTTCTGGAAAGGCCTCTAATTGCAAAATGCAGACCAGGGAACACCACAGAAGTGGGCCGGCGAGGAGTGACAGGCTGCAACGGTAAGTGGGTGCAGAGCGCATGGGGCAGCTCCACCCCTTCACCCGTGCCCTAGCTTGATTTTAGGCATGTGCCTTGCCCCAAAACTAGGGCTTATTTCGGGGGTAAGGCTTATATTAGGTCCACCCCCAAAAATCAAGCTAGGGCTTATTTTCGAAGTAGGTCTTACTTACTATTCAAAAATGTAAGTCCATATGCCCAGAATTTTGCATAGAGGACAAAAATGGTATTTTTGTAGAGGTTGGATAGGAACTGTGAAAACAAGGACTGGATTTTGTATTTTGAGAGTGATTGTTGCTTAGCTCTATATCTGTATGTATGTGTGTGTTGGAAAAGAATATGGAAGCAACATGAAATTTCTAAAATGCAGTAGTCAGCTAAGCTAGGCTCTTCTAAAAAAATCAATCACTCTTAGGATGATAGCAGTAATGATGATGTCCACAAGAGGGATGAGGTAAATTGACCTCCTGTTTTTTTCTTTTTCCAAATGCTGAAATTCAATAAAAATTTATATATTATACTTACCGAATTCTTAGCATGTCCTTTCTCATGTCAAATTTTTCAAAAGAAAATTTTGCATTGCTTTAAAACTTATTATATGCAAATTTATGATAGTTGGAAATCCAGACATTATTTGCAATCACAACTCAAAGCATTCTGTCGGAGAACACAGATTCTATAAATAATCAAGAAAACCTCAGCTGGTGAGGCTGCCTTAGTTTCAAGCAGATAGCAGAGCCAGATCATCACAACCTCTGTAGGCTGGTTAAGGGTAAAATGTCTGACTAAAGCAGCTTTGCAACACAAGCTTTATTATGTTACTTCATATTGAAAGGAGAATGAATTTTAAATATAAGTCACAAGATACTCTCTTTAAACAGAAACAGTAATGGTAAAACTTTAAGTTCACAGACTGCAGCCAATATCAATATTTTAACAGATTATCTAAAAAAAGTATTTATCTTACCTAAATAAGGAATACAAGGAGTCATCTTCAAGCTACTAATATAGTCTCTAAGTCTTTTATAATTGTCCTCTTTGCTCATTACGTATTCCAGTTTGTCAAAAGAAGCTTTGTCTTTTCGGCTCAGTAACTTTTGGGAAAATAAAGAACAGACAACTATTACTGTAAAAGCTATCTTTTTATATTCAGGTATTTAATAGTTATTTTATATGACAAAATGGGATACTGAAAAACCTACAACTGACTAAAAGAAAACATTTAAAACAGACATTTAAACTGTTAGAAGACAAATAAACCTCAAGGCCAAATTATCCTTCATATTAAATCCCTAGTATTCTGCTGGTGATTTTTAAAATAAGCTTAAAAAGTAGCAATAGATAGAAAATATATCCCCCATGGTTTGTTTTTTAAAAAATGTTTATTCCATTCTCTCTTAATAAGGTAGTCACAGCAGAGTCAAAATACAATGCAAACTTCAAAGTCAAAAATCATAAAGTGCCATTAGATAATGTGTCAAAGACCCCAAAGCATCAAAGTTCAGGGAGAAAAAATTAGAATCAGAATCTAATGAAGACTCCTAAGTGAAGAAAAGGTGGAAGGTGGATAATATGAATTATCTAATAAAAAATATCTAACAATCATATCTTCTTTTTATAGCCCTCTGCACTGCTTTTCATGTGTTTCCAAAAAATCCTCCAATCTTTCAAAACATATTTTCAGAAGGATAGCTTTGCTTTTCTCCAGATAGAAATGGCAAAGGCACTCAGACTTATATACTGTTTATAGTGCTTTACAGCACCCTCTAAGTCAGTGGTTCTCAACCTGTGGGTCAGGATCCCATTTGGGGTTGAACGACCATTTCACGGGGGTCGCCAAACAACGCAGTCCGCCATTCCCCCCCCCCCTTTTCCTTAGCTGTGCTACTCCCTTTTATTCTATTGGCTTTTGAAAGCCAATAGAATAGACTCTCTTGAATAGAGTCTAATTCTATTGGCTTTCAAAAGCCAATAGGAATTGTCCAGGCTGTCTCTGCCCTGCTGAGCCCGCCAAAAGTCCCATTCTGCAAACGGTGCTGAAAGTTGTCTGCAGCAAAGGCAAGCTGTCTGGAAGTTTCCACCCCTCCCTGCTGAGCAACTACTACAAATGTAAGTAAAAGAGGGCCAGGGGTGGGAGGTGGGAGGCCGGCGGGCGCAGGGAGGGTTGCTGGCGTGCATGGGGCCTGGTGGATGCCTTATCTCCCTTGGGCTGGGCCAGCTGGTGGCCCAGCCAGTGGTCGGCCTGCGCCGTCTCTGCCCCTTGCCAGCTACACCTCGGCCGGCGCAGGGGGCGGCACCATGCATGCGTGGCACTCCCGGGCAGGGAAAGTCCTTGGCTTACGACCGGTTGGGTCATCCTCAACTTACGACCGGTTGGGTAGTCCTCGACTTACGACCGGTCGGGGGTCGCGGCATTAAAAAGGTTGAGAACCACTGCTCTAAGTGGTTTTATTGCCCCCAATAATCTGGGTCCTCATTTTACCGACCTCGGAAGGATTGAAGGCTGAGTCAACCTTCAGCCGGTTAGGACTGAACTCCTGCTAGTGAGCAGAGTTAGTCTGCAGTACTGCATTCTAACCACTGTGCCACCACTGCTATTGGTACATCTAGTGCTAGAGGCCTTTGAAGGAACAGTATGTTTATCTGAGGCTGAAATCATTCCTCAAATAAGCAGCAGAATCATTCACTAAGCACCACTACCTTTCAAGACCCAAGTTCCTGACCATCTCAGGAAACAGGTACCACTTGTAATTTTCCTGTAAGATTTCTGGGGAAGAAATGGCAGATTCAAGATGACTCTGTGAAAAATGGAGCCAACAACCTTAGTTGTATGAAAAAACAGCAAGCAGACTAGCTAGCTCTTCGATACCTCCTCTCTGGACAAGGAAAGGACTTGAGATCATCTATAAATGCTAAAGACAGTTGCTCCTCACAAGCAGATTGCAAGCCAGCAGTCTCTGGCAAATTTAGAGTTTTGGGACACAAGGAAATAGCCATCTTGCTCAAACCACAGTTGATGCCTTTGAAAGAACCTTGGGTTCACATACTTCTTTTTCTAAGCACTTTTAAAAACTGCTTGATAACTCTTTTCAGATACTAGAAACCTTTTGATCAACAGGTTTTCTAGTACCTGGTGAGTTTCCTCAGTCCTTAGTAAAAAAAGTTTCAAATACAAGCTTAAGGAATTTAAAAACTATTATTATTTTAATATAGGTTGATTAAAATTTTGACTTTAGAAAGTTACAAATGTATTAAGAATCCAGATTAATTTGAAATAAATTATAAATAATTTTCCAATGGAAAAAATGTTTTTGTTTTGAATGCTAAAAAGCACAAGGTAAGAATTGGATATTACAGATAACTAAAAATTTCAATTAAAGGAGAATACTCAAAGTGGACTTGGGATGAAGCAAAATATTCTAACATAATGAAGAATATTTTTGAACACTGAACCTAGAAGCTAACTTTAACAATGTTTTCCTCTATAGAATGACTGTGTCTAAAAGATGTTATGGAAGAGGAATATGTTTTACCTGACAAAATGGAGACTGATTTGAAAGTGGATTTAAAAATAACAGACTACAATATGGAAAAAGATGCTACAATGGATGTACAAAAGAAACTGGCTAACATCTCAATAATTAAAAGGGTTATACAAACAGTAAATCAAGAAAGTGACCTTAACTTCCAGTGGTGACGTCCGTGGCGATGGCGGCTTTCTTCAGCCGTCCGCCCTGGGATGTGTCAAAGCCAGCTGAGACAGCTAGCAACAGCTATCTCGCGGCTTGGAACCTCTCTCCCCAGGTGAAGGGGAGGAGGTGAGCTTTCCTCAGATAGTGGTAGAGCTCCCCGAGGCCCCAAAGTTTTCTTTTTTGGTGGTCAGAGGGTGAGCTCCCACGGAGTCTGGGGTGTTCTCCACATTCCAGGATGCCTTTGCCCTGATTTTTCCAGGGCAAAGCTAGACGCTGCTTCCACATCTGCGCTTAAAATGAACTTGTGAGTAAAATTTAAAGCAGACAGAGCTGACCAGGAGAGATTAAAATGGGGATTATTTCGGACTTTAACTCTGGAAAAGAACTTATCTTCTCCTTCCTTTAATTAAGAGTGGTGAAAAATGGCGCTGAGATGTTGATTCATTGAGTGAAAGGACCGGAACTTCTACTTGGAACAATGTAACAGATTTGGTATTTGTATAAATTGCAAGAATCTTCTTTTTTTCTTTTAAGGGGGCTTTTGTCTTTTTTCCCCTTCTCCTTTTTTCTTTTTTTTTGGGGGGGGGGTGGTATTTGTTGATTTTATAAGATTTTAGCAGACTTTTTACAAGTGGTCTTAAAAATAAAATGGCTTCAAAGCGTCTCGGAGCTTCTGTTGCTTCTAAAGCCTCGATCTTCCCGGTAATGCAGACAGCTCAGCAAGCTAAGTCTAAATTTCCACCACCTTCTCTATTGTCTCCAGCATGTATACTTAAAGATTTACAGGATGCCTTGGAAAACAAGGCACGACAGATTAAAGAAGAGATGGAGGTTTTTATTGAAAATAAATTCATGAAATTGACAGAGGACATAGTGTTTGCATTTCAAAAGTTTGTTGGTCACACAGATCTTATGGATGAGCGTATTGATGATGTTGTGGAAAATTTTGAAAAACTGGAAGATTGAATTGACAAAGTGGAAAATAATGTGGAAATAATACAGGATGAAGTTACTATATTACAATAGAAAAACATGGAATTTGTTTTAAGAATAAGGGGAATGAAGGAAAATATTCAAGAGGATTTGAGACAAGTGGTGGTAAAAGATATAGCTCTTATTTTGGGGGCTGAGCCTGAAGAAATATTGAGAGATAGACGGAAAAAGTTTTTAGGGTTAATTCTAGGGTTGCGAGACAAACGAATTTGCCACGAGACGTGGTTATCTATTTTTCTAGGAGATCACTTCGTAATGAAATTTTACAGGCTTTTTATAAGCAGAGATTTCAAACTGCAGCTCAAGATGTTATAATTTTAAAAGAAATACCTTAAAAAATTCTTAGAAAAAGAAAGGATTTTGCTTTTTTGGTTGATGAGCTCAAAAAACGCCAGGTTCGATTCAGATGGGATATACCGGTTGGAATAGTCCTGAATTATGCGGGGATATATTATAGACTTAATACAATGTCAAAGGCGAAAGATTTTTACATTTCGATTTTGAAGGTGGGTTCTCCATTATCTTTACGACCTGAGATAATAGAAGAAAAGTTGGAAGAGCAGCCGGTTGAAAGTGCTATGCTATTGGATGTGGGAAACAAACAGGCTGAACCTTTGCAGCAATCTCTTGAGACAGAAGATTTTTTAAAGGAACCGAGAATGATGCGTGCAGCCTATAGATATAAATTAAAAGAACTGCAGAAGATGGATGTTGGAATAAAGAAAAGGAAATGATGAACTTTTGTAGTAGTTTTTTGAGATAGAAGATGTTTTAAAGGAAAAGTGAATGATTTGTATTTAGTATGTTTTAAAGCAGTGGTTCTCAACCTGTGGGTCGGGACCCCATTTGGGGTCGAATGACCATTTCACGGGGGTCGCCAAACCACGCTGTCCGCCATTTTTTTCCCTTTTCTCTAGCTGTCCTACTCCCTCTTATTGGTGGCCACACCCACTTGGGGGTCACCACAACATGGGGAACTGTATTATGGGGTCACAGCATTAGAAAGGTTGAGAACCACTGTTTTAAAGGAACCATGAATGATTTGTGTAGTATGTAGATGTAAAGTAAAAGAATAATAGAAGGTGTTGATTTAGTGGAAAAGTTTAAATATTTGGGAGTATATATATTATAAATTCTTAATTTAAAGTGAAAAATAATTATGAGATATTATGGGTAAATGTGTAAAAGAATTCAAAATTTTAATGATCTCTGTTGGTGAGAATTTTAGAAGATGAATGGTTTGCTGAAACTTTTTAAGTAGGAGGGTATTATAGACTTTCTTAGGGGTAAAAAGCAAAGAGCCAATTTTATCGAACGTAAGTTTGTTGGTTAGGTTATATTGGAGGGAAAATTTTGTGTTTATTATGGACGAATGGTTGTTTAAAAGAAATATACACCTCAGCGAGGTGAAGATGGATAAATTATATGTAGAGTAAATATGGGTTATGATATGGGTTTAAAATGCATTATGCAGATTATGAATTATTTATAGTTTTTAATTTGGAAATGCTTATATTGTTAATTTTCCCCCCTTTTTGTATTTGAGTTAAAGTATATTATCGATTTTATTATTTGTATAGTTGGATAAGTTTATTTAGAATTTGTTTGTTTATTTGTAACCCTGTAACCAGCTCTGGGAAGTGAGGGGGGAGGGAGGGAGGGGGTTATTTTAGGGGGGGATATTGTTTAAAACTTGTATAAAACTTTTCAATTAAAAAAAGAAGAAGAAAGTGACCTTGATAATTTTCTTATATTGAATTTACAAAAGAGGCTTGTTAAAGCTTTACAGAATTTTATGAGAAGGAACAAAGAAAAAAAATGTAAAGTCAAGTTCTAGAACATAACTTGAAGGAACTATCAATATTTTATCATTATAAAAGAAAGAAATATAATATTAGTTTATTTGATGAAGGTTAAAATAGATACGTTATTTCTAGTAGCCCTTAATGGACTTCTGCTGAATTTCTTACTCTTACTTTCAAAAGATTCCAATTTTTGCCTTAAAATACATCCCTTCATATTCTTTTCTTATTTTGTTTCTTTATACCACAGATGCCTATAAAATCCATTGGCTAGGCCAGCTTCTTATATAATTGATGTTTTGTTATTCTTAATAAAAAAGCAATTATTTAATGTAATTCACTCACCGCCCATGTTTTAGTCAACCTGAAGATGGGGGCACTTTGTAATCCAGAAACCACAGCCATAAGAGCATGTAAATTATTTAGTTCATAAAGTTTCTGAGGACAAGAACAGAAATGGAAGCTCAATATCAAGTAATTGTTTACTACTGTTAAATCATAAACCTTTGAACAATGTTCTAAGAGTGCAGGGCAATAAAGAATGGATACAACCAGATGATAACCAATACTTCAGCCAAAATAAAACTGCCAAAGAATTATAAAACTGAAGTGAATTATAAAGCTTCACAACTATTCTGTCCTATACGATCTAGATTAGATTGGATCCAAGCAGAAACTTTCAAATGCTTTCGCTCTTTGCCTGACCTATAAATCATATTCTTTTTGAGGATTAAGAAAATCTGCTGATATATTTTCTGACAGAGGGGAGAAAGAAGAAAGTACAAAAGAAATACTGAGAGTGGAATAGAAAGCAACTCTACTAATTATTCAACAATCACTTCCTTTCCCCTTATCCTTTTGCCATTCTACCACAAGGATTCCCCAAACATTTGAGGGTCTTGGGTATGGGGAAGTCTAGATTCTGTTTATGCCCCTCTGTAGTTGTCTAAATGTGATTTTTGTGTGTAACCTAGCTTGGCTTGGGGCAAAATGAACAACAACAACTTCTTTAACTAGGTTAAGAGATCAGCAGCATACTTATACTCTTTAAGTATAAAATTAAGGTTAATATTATTTAGAATAGAGAAACTGGGGGGAAATTAACACAGAAATATAGCATAGAGCAGTAGCATGTGCCCACCATATTCATCTGTTGGCTTATCTATCATTCACAGTTTAACATTTCCACCAAATTTATTATGTGTCTATTTATAATATATATATACTAGAATTGAAATTACATATTTCTATTAGAACTCTGATAAAAACATCTAAATCTGAAAAACTGTGGCAAATAGAAAATTATTTTAAAATAAAAGTATAAAATCATGTAAAATAATATTATTTTGGTGACTGATATATAAAAAGTCTAAAAGCTACATAAATACAAGAAATGAGTAACAAGAAATTATATGAGTGAACTTTAATATTGTTCATGACTTCATCAACAAATACTTGTTGTTTTGTACTATGTGCTCAAAAGAAACATGCAACCCGTAAATCAAGACTTTCAATACATTATTCAAAAGATAAAGCCAGAAAATATTGTGCACTTTTTAACATACATTTATTTACAAATGTAATTAATTTGTGGTTGATTCAACATATGTCCTGCCAGTTTCAGAGGAACAGTTTCAAACTTACTAGCAATATCATAATCTATTTCTGCAACTTTCAAACAATAATGAAGAATCATTACATGTTGTAATTTCTATAACTTATTCACAATAATACCTTTCTCATATTATAAGTAAATGGAAGCAAAATTATAATAGATTTTTGAAAGGAGTTTTAAAGTTTAAAACTGTTCCCTAAATATATTTTCTTACCTTAGCAGTTTTGATATAGTGGCTTAGGACTTCAGCTCTTATTTTCAATGTCTGTGCATGAAGAATCTCTCTAACAACCCAAAAACTTACCTGAAAACAAAAGGTCTACATTAAAATATATACAAAAAGGAAGTGGCGGTAGTGCTAATAAAATGTGAATACTGAAATAATCAAAAATTTCCCATTATAAAATCAATGGGTCACTTTAAAAAATGCAAATTATTCCCTTAGAATGTATACTTCACTCATGTGTGAATTCAATTAGCATAGGTTCTTTCTATTCATTCAGATGGACATATTTAGTCTTATTTTTGTTATGCAACCTCATTGAGGGTAGGGGCAGAGGTGGGAGATGGGAGTATAGCGATATCCCTACCCTTAACATAAATTAAGGTTTTAACAAAAGAATAGACCACATGGTTTCATTAATTGCAGCATTTTATTGTGATGTATACAATTAAGTCTCAAAACTTACATGGTTGAATCTTCTTGTAAAAGCAACTGCATTTGGTGCTGAACTATATTTTTCCTTTTTATTCCAACCACAGCTTGACAGTTCCTAGATGAACAATGAAAAAAATAATGTAATGTCAGTGTTCAGATTGCAAAACAAAACATGATTTTTCCTTTTATTAATAGAAGTTCTATTTATATTTTTCATAATATTACTGGTAAAGCTGATGTGCTAGATATAAATGTTAATTCTGAGCATGCTTTTTGTAAAAGTACTATGAATTATAACATAGTTTGAACGATTCCATGTCTTTAGCAATGTGTGAATCTTTGAATCTTCAGAAGCATTTCATTTGAAATTTCCATTGAATAGCATTCTAAATTGAGATAATTAAGTGTATAAAAGAGAGCGTGAAATCTGAACTATCTTGTATATCCTTGTTTTTAATGCTTAAATTTGTCTAACAGTATACATTTCACTAAAATTCTCAAGCTACGAAATAAGTGCTATTCTCTAATATATTCAGTCAAACTATGTTAATAAATATGCAATATTAGCTTGATTCCTATATAACAAGCCGAGTTTTCAGTAACATACTAAAGATAGCCCCATTCTGACATTATGCAAACTGGAGTATTTACCGGTAGGGACTCCATCACAGAATCATCCCTTATCAATGTCACTGAAATGATGTTGGCTTTCCTGCAGTGATTCATGAATTTAGCACAGATTATTGCACAGAACAGTCTATACACTAGCTCAAGAGAAACATAACAAAAATGCTCTCTTTTGTGCTAAATACATGAATAACTACAAAGGACTTCAAACATCACTGGAGCAACACTGAGGCAGGAGTTATCCAGTGTGCTCGCCAGATCAGTGCTCCAGATTCATAATGCCTGAATGGTCTAGAGTTTGTCTGCAATCCAGAACTGGAAACATGCTTCAAACTAGGAAGGATAAGATAAAATAAGGAGAGAATGGAGGGGAAATTTTGAAAAAGTGCAAGAGAGTAAGCTCACTGAAAGGAGACAGAAGCTTGTTGAAGAACTGTTTATCTGCCAATACTTAAAACATTAAAGACTACCTTTATAGGTAGTCTTAGACCATTTGTTTAGTGATTGTTTGAAGTTGTAATACCACTTCCCAATCCATTTTTCTAGAATATACTATATGAATTTGTTTGGAGTCTGTAAAAAATGTAAGCAGTTGATATAAGCAGATAGCAATCATCCAAACCACCAATGCTTGACTGGTTTAAAAATATTAATGTTACTTGTAATTGCAAAAAGACAGCATGCCAGCTATTTTATAATCACTTTTTCTAATGGCTAAAACCACTGTTGCATGTTGCTATAATGGTTTAAGTAGAGGACATAGCAAAATATATTCTAAACCGTTAGGTACCAGGCTGAAAACTGTCTCTCTCTCTCTCACCTAATCCTCCAACCCCACAAAAAAAAACAACAACAAAAAAAAACACTTGGAGCTCCCTCCAATCCCCAGTCTTTATCTGGGTTGCTACAGGAAACATGTCAAAAACTGTTAAGTAGCCAGAGAACAGCCCAGATCAACTCTGGGTGTTTTGAAAAGTGGAAACGGCATCATTAAGGTGGTATATATTTTCTTGCCATGTGCAGAAAGCAAAATAAGTGATTTCTGTGAAGAAGGTCCTTTGAAGCTGTAAGTCACCTTGTAATTTAAACAGCTATGAATCAAATGCTTGTTTTTATATTAAAATACTAAGTGTTTCTCACCCTACATTAAAAAAATAAATCTCTTTGTCAGAATCCAATTATATTTCATTTCTAGTTATCGACTATGGAAAACCCCATTTCTGCCCTCTCTGGATTCTGTCATACTACGAAGGGGAAGGGAGATGAGCAAAGGGGTTTTATGGCACTCACTTCCTTCATAAAAACTTCAAAGGGACTGAATGTGGATCTCACTCAGAGGACTGAACACAACAATATGGCCCATCAGCTTTCATCTACTACTTTCTGAAGTCTCCCTTCTGCCGGTTGAGAGGAAAAGGGGATGGAAATGTGACGCCTGGGATTGTCGCTGAAAGGACGATGGGATGGGGGCTGCTTGGGAACACTTAAAACCTTGAATGGTAGGGGTTGGGCTCCAGATCCTGTCTAGAACGCCTGCAACCATCTTATCTTAATAAAGATGCCTGTTGGAAGACATATTCCAAGAGTTCTGTCTTCTTAAGATGTAGAGTGGGGTGGGTCCTTACACTCTTCTCAATGTTAATGTTTCTAGTTTGACTTATTTCTCTCAAAAGTATAAAGGTAAACATGCTAGACTGCAAACTTTTGCAGATAAATCCTAAAAGAATTGTGTTATTTAGTTTATATCACATTATTTTATATGAAAAGATTCTGAGAAAGATTGGATTGAAATGTAATTTTTGGATAAATTCTTGCAAGATTTGGCTTCTTCTTAAAATCCCCTTTCAGTCTAAATTCACTCCCTAAGATCAACCCTTAGGAAAACTGGCATAAAAATTCTTATCAATAGAATATAAAGGTAAAGAGGTACATCAACAAAAGTTGATTAAAAAGAGTTTTTTAGATTTTTATACAAAATTATACGCTAGTGAAAATATACAAGCTTTAAATATAGATAAATACCTACAGGCAGCACATTTTCCTAGACTTTCAAATGAACAACGAAATGAGATGAATTGTTTAATTACTTCTGAGAAAATTATTTGGGCAATTAAACAGTTAAAAGTGGGTAAGGCTCCTGGTACAGATGGATTAACAGCAATTTATTATAAAATATTATCTGAAGAGATGATAGAACCATTAAAGGAACTTTTTAATAGTATCCAGATTGGAGGAGAAGTGCCTCCATCTTGGCTTTTATATCGTTGATTCCAAAGGAGGACCAAGACCTTACCCAGCCTAAGAATTATAGACCTATATCGCTTTTGAATACAAATTATAAGATTTTTTCGAAAATATTGGCAAATAGATTAATGCAAGTTTTAAAGCAAATGATTCATAGTGATCAGTCTGGATTTATAACTGGAAGATATATGAAATATAATGTAAGACAAACTGTTAATTTAATTGAGTATTTGGATAAGAACAATCAAGTCCCTGCGGCATTGATATTTTTGGATGCTGAAAAAGCTTTTGATCAGTTGAATTGGCAATTTTTATTGAAAGTTGTTGATAAAATGAATTTTGGGGATAAATTTTTATATTCTCTTAGGGCTATATACCAACAACAAACGGCACAAATCATAATTAATGGGGGATTAACAGAGGCATTTAAAATTGAAAAGGGTACAAGACAGGGATGTCCATTGTCGCCATTGTTGTTTGTTTTAACAATGGAGATTTTACTGATTAAAATTCGTGAATCAACTATAATAAAGGGAATAAAAATAAAAAAGAATGATTATAGGTTGAGAGCCTTTGCGGATGACTTGGTTGTGACACTATCTCAACCGATTCAATTGGTTATAGATTTGATGGAAATTATAACTCAGTATGGGAAAGTTTCTGGTTTTAAGGTAAATAATAATAAGACTAAAATATTATCTAAAAATATGATTATGAAGGAAAAGGAAATGTTAGTTAAATTGACAGGTTTTGAAATAGTGAAAAAGGTTAAATATCTGGGAGTATATATTACAGCCTCTAATGTAAAATTGTATAAAAATAATTATGAGATATTATGGTTAAAAGTACAAAAGGACTTAAACAATTGGAAAAAAATATAATTATCTTTGTTGGGGAAAATTGCAGCTGTTAAAATGAATGTTCTACCAAAGTTTCTTTTCTTGTTTCAAATGATAACTATTTTGAAAAAAGATGCCAATTTGGATGAATGGCAGAAGGGCATTAATAAATTCATTTGGGCGGGGAAAAAAACCAAGAGTTAAATTTAAGATCTTACAAGTTGCATGGGAAAGAGGAGGACTTAAGGCGCCTAATTTGAAATTATACTATGATGCGGTGGTTTTAACACTGATTAGTGATTGGGTTAATTTAACAAATAAAAGTATACTTCATCTTGAGGGATGGGATTTATTATATGGGTGGCATGCTTACTTAATTTATAATAAAAAAGTTGACCAAGCTTTTAAATCTCATATTTTAAGAAGTGCTTTATTGCGTGTCTGGAAGAAGTATTATTATAAGTTAAATTATAAAATACCAATCTGGGGGATTCCTGGACATGTGATAGAGGGGGTATCTATGGGTGTGAATTTGGATAGGATTTCTTATAAGGAACTACTTAGATTGGTAGGGAATGATTGGCAATTAAAATCGTTAGTTGAGTTAAAGCAAGAAAATATTGTACAGTCTTGGTTTCAGTATAATCAATTGTTGGCTAGGTGGAAGTTAGATCAAAAGGTTGGTATTACCTTAATGGATGAGAATTTGGTAATACAGATTAAAGATTAAAATCGAGCGCATATAAAGAGAATTTATAATGCTTTAATAGAATTGGATTCGGAAATGGATTTAGTTAAAGATTGTATGGTAAAATGGGTCCAAAATATTCAAGAACAGATTCCATTGGATATATGGGAGGTAATTTGGGTTAGAAATGTAAAATTTACACAGGCCCAAAATTTAAGAGAAATTTTTTACAAAATGTTTTATAAATGGCATCTGGATCCTAAAAAGTTGTCTTGTATGTATCCTAATTTACAGCCCAAATGTTGGAGATGTGGTAGCTTGGATGCTACTTATTTTCATATCTGGTGGACTTATAGAAATATAAAAGCCTTTTGGATTAAGATTTGGTGGAACATTCAAAAGATTTTTAGGAAAAAGATAAAGTTTACTCCACAATTATTTTCATTGGGTGTTATTGTAGATTGTGATGTTAAAGAAATTAATTTGATGTTGAATTTGATAACAGCTGCAAGGTTATTGGTAGGGCAATATTGGAAGAAGGATTATTTGCCTACTATAGAAGAATGGACGCTTAAAGTGTCAAATTTAGCAGAAATAGCGAAAATTTCTGCTTACTTGAAGTATCATTCACTAGAAAGATACATTTCGGTCTGGAGAAGATGGATAGCTTATATTCAGAATAAATATGGGACTAAAAAGTTCCATCTAGTTTATGAG